GTAAGAATCAACTGACTGACAAAAGCATGTCCACCTCCACAACCGTAGATTTAATATGTTCCCCTCCAGCCTGTTGCTGTTGGGTGTCTCTCAGTTAACTTATTACAACAAGTACCAAAACAATCAACAAAGGCTTTAGCAAGAGGCTCACTGGCTGTGTGTCGAACAATAAAAGCACAGACAACTTTTCAGCTCTGATCCTTTAGTACCTTTGAAAGATTTGTCTTTTTTTTACATGTCTTCATCTTCTGCCGAGGTTTTGTTCACCACTTGGCTTCCTATCAACACATTTATGCGGTTCAACCTTCTGGTCAAAACCTGGTGTGTGAACAATGGAGCATGTGCAGAAAACTAAGGCCTGTTTGTATTTTAAAAGTCCAGTTAGAGGCCAACTAATACTGCAAATTAATCTTCATGATCAACATACTTACAGTCAATCCTTGGAGGTTGTAAATGTGGGTCATTATCCTTTTTTTTGTATCAAAGGTGCTTTCTTCCCCTTTTATAAAAACCATTTCCAAAACAAACTGTGCAAGAATTAGTCTGAAGAAAGACAAGACTCATCCATAGATAACCAGTGTTGGGCATGTTACTGGACATAAGTGATGAGTTACAAATACACATTTCTACTATCAAAAAGTAACCGCATTATAAAAGTAATCAATTAGTTTGGAAAGCGACTTAGGCATTACTCATTTTTGCTTCAGTACTCTCATGAATAAACACTACCTCTGTAAAATGTTGCTCCCAACACTGCAGGTAACAAAGGTGCCATGTATGTCAAAGGGATTTTGGGAACAATGGAAATCTGACAGATAGTGTGGTGTTACTGCAGTGCTTTTATAGTTTAAAAAAGCTTTGTATTAGCAATTTTTCCCAGTACATTTCATCACTTTCATGTTGTGCAAGGAGAAAAGTTTGGAACATGCAAGGGGTACGCAGCCCATTTATGGAAGGCTTAACACAGAAATGTAAGAGACAGAGAAAAGTGAAAGTAGAGCAGAGCTAAGAAGAAAAGACTGAATGTAGAGTAAATTTATTAAACTGTACTGAGACAAACTTTGTGAGAGATGTCTGCACCTTTCCAATTTCCAGCCATTGAAGTTGACTGTGAAAGGTTGCAAAAGCAAAAATAAAGTTGAAAAGGAGGTTATGAAAACAGACTGGATTTTATTATTTTTTTTTAAAGAGGAAGAAAAAAGTCTTTAAAAAATGTATTTCTGGCTCGCCCATTTTTTTCATTTTACTAGTAATTTAACCTTGCATTCCCAATGTCATTTCTCTGTGTCATTTACCCTGAAACATTCTCTTTATATCAACCCTTAAGTGGAGTAATAATCTTTATTTTGATTCAACTCTTCCATTCAGAGTTTGATTATGTTACTGAATGATAAAAGGGACACTAAACTCAACCTGACCTCTCTGCCCTGGTCGTCTTGCTCAGTCTCGTGCTTTCATTGAAAACCATGCATGCTGAACATGTTTGTTTACTGTAGTGGGGCTCATAGTCACGTTTCTTTCCGAGAACACTTCTCTAAGTCCTTGTATTTTGATTTTGATTGACTGTCTGCCTCGTGGCAGTATTTGTGTCATTTCTAAATGAAAACAGATGGTGCTCACTCTTTCCACTGTTAAACCTGAAGGGCGTTTGAGGGTAATAATGACTGATCTGATAGATGCCCGGGACACAGGCGCAGCTGACCTCCAGTGGAAAAAGAAGCTGCATAATAATTGAAATTATTTACTGGCTAAAGTAAGGGGCTTTAGAGCAATCCAGTTTTAGAATTTGACGAGGATAAATCCTGATGAAATATGTGTGCTGTCCCTAATCCTCTCCAATCATAAACAGCTGTCCCGGGTTATGGATGTGACTGTTGCTTAACCTGCAGAGAGAGAGAGAGAGAGAGAAAGGGAGTGGCCTTTGATCTGGATTTGGCTCTGCCCTAACCTGATCCCCTTTCCCCTCTCCCTGCCATCTGTCAGACTTTTATTACTCTGGTTTTTTAAAGTGCATTGGAAAGCTAAACAGCATCAGAAAGAAGTTTTATTCCTTGATGAGCCTTTATTTGTTTTCCAAGCTCTGCTTTGGGCACACTTCACTGAGCGTGCACACACGGGGTGTAATCTCACTCTCCCTCTTTGTCCTTTGGGTGCTGCTGAATGCAACCACAAACTTCACCTTCCTTTAGTCACTCAGTGAATGGTTTAATTTTTGCCAGTTGCTGCAATCTGCAAGGGAATTATTTTTTCAGTTTAGGCTCATTATATTTGTCCTACACAGTGTTAACAAGTGTGAAGGTCAGGGCTGAATTTACCCAGAAGACCCCTGGTTTGAATTTACATGCAGATTGTGTAAAGAATATGAACATTATCCTGCTGGTTTTATTCCCTTCTCACAAAGCAACAAATGTCTCATAATGCATTCTTTTTTAAACTTTCCATTTAAAATTCAACTCCAACAACCTCACCATTAAAGTAAACTCTCCCTGCTTGAACTTTGTGAGATATTCCCATAAGATTTACACGCTCGTTCTCAAATTGTCTCTTGTGACTTTTTGATGATGCTCATGAATTTAGATGCTGCATGGTATATTTTCACTCCCTGATTTGATAACTGGAGGACGCATTTGTGAGGAGAATAGATGAGCACTCGTTTAACCTCTATCATTACTTCAATTATTGAAGTCGAGTGTCGGTCAAATGCTTTTCCCCTATAGACAGTTTTAACATTTTGTGCATTTATGTAGACACCGGAAATTTGACATATGGTTTACTAATTTGCATGTCTGTTTGACTGCTGTTAAGGTTTAGATATGTGACAACTGTCTTCGGATGAACACTGTAAGACGGAGGCTCTTTCTATTGCCTCTGGTAACATCTCCTTCAAGGTTACTTGTTTTTTCTCTTGTTTCTCTTGTGAAATCAAATCTCATAAGTGCTGGAGTTTTCTTGGTATTTAAATGCATTTAACAATTAAATCCCACATCCTAAAGGCGCTGTAGGGAGTTTGGCCTGGTTGAAAAACAGGCTGAAAATGACCTTGATGCCCCTTAGTGATCCACCAACGTTTGGATAGGTGTCAGACCACCTGATTGGCAGCAGGCTGAAGAAACAGCTTGAATTTTACACTTCCCATAGTAATTATTCATTATGGACTTTGTGTGTTTAATTGGTCACTTTTAATTACCCAGATGTGAATGTGAGTGTATACCTGATTGTCTTTCTATGCTAAAATGATGACCTGTCCATGGTGAGCCCTGCTTCTCACCCTATCACAGCTGGGCTATTCTTAGATGACAGGATATATGAATAGATGGAGACAATTAAGTTTAGGGAGAATGTGACATTCAACATCAGCACATAAAAACAAAGACAGTTGCTGTTGTAAAGTTGCATAAGGAGTTCACAGCAAAATGGATGAATCAGTCGATTTACACCAGACAAGCACTGAAAACAAACATTGAATAAAAGATGACACATGCAATCCAGCCGCACAAGCCTGCAAGTTAATGAACACTCTCAAAATGTGCTGACAACACAGTCTTAGTCAGTTTTCTCCAGGATGGAGCCGTTTGATCATGGACCAGTTTTAACAGATCTGTTGACCGGTGTGATTGTCATTTCTGAAAGGTAACAAAAACCAAGGGCATGTTCATAGATTTTAGAAATAGCCCACAGTCACCTCTCCCAGTCACAGTCAAGGCTACATATAAGACTTTGATAGTTTTATATCACAGATCCTCCATCAAATTTTAACTTTTTGTTTAATTTCATTTTTGTGGTAACCTTGAAGTACAAAACAAAAACTGTCTTCAAAGAATTCTAACAGAAGCCTGCAGGATAATTGTCATTCAGCAGCTCGCACTCGCTCAGATTTTTGACAGACAGGTGGTGCAGACAGCACAGTCAATCTTGTCCAGTTCTGATGACCCACTCTTAAAGGAATTTATCCCTCTTACCTTGGGACGCAGACATATCCTCCCCAGAGCAAGAACAAATAGGTATGAATTTTCTGTTATCCCATGTGAAATCACTGCACTTACCTTGTACAACTCTAAAGTGCACTTCCCTACAGACTGTGATCCTCCCTTGAACTCACTTTTGAACAATATTTATTGACTGTTAAAATGTATATATATATATATATATATATATATATATACAAACATATATATATATATATATATATATATATATATACAAACATATAACAAATGAGGGTGCTCAAGATTCTTTTTAATCAGTTTTTCGCCACTAGGACAAAATCAAATTTCCTTTGGGGGTCAACAAAGCTCTCTGAACTCTGAACAAATGTGGAGTTAATGATTCATCTCATCTAAAACTCATAATGGGCAATTGAGTTAATTTGATTTTGCAGTGATGTGACATCAAAAAGTAAACACTCTGAGGAGTTTGGATTCAGATAAAGGTAAATGGAGTCAAAACTTGAGCCATTATTTTTGTTGTTGACTCTGTATAAAATCACACAGTTTAATGAGAGGAACTGTTAAGAAGTAAAAACTGCTTAGCCTTGTTATTCTGACCCAGTTTTTATACAGCCCTGCTAAAATCTAATGAGGACATTAATCAGCATTGCCACAGTAAAGAGTTGTCTAATACTGATTTGGAGTCTAAGAGCTGCTGGAAAGCAGGCCTGTTAAACAGGATGTAAGAGATTATGCTGAAGACAAGTGATTTAAGTGTATAAAACTCTTTGAACAGGCTGTACATCAGCACTGGGACCCAACAGAGAGTGAGAAGCCCAATTTGGTTATGCAAGGTTTTACTGGCCACTTCCCCAGTGTGCAGCCTGCCTCCCAATGTAATTCATCCTCCAACACATTAGACACTGCACATTCTGTACCTTACATAACTAAATAAGTTTGAGTTAAAGTTGTACTGGGGGAAATTTGTCATATTAGTAAATAAAACACAGCAGCTAATTAAAAGTTGCTGATCCCGCATTTAAGCAGCTACCGAAAGTCCAGCATGCACCTCTGTGCGAGGAGTTTTGGATCATTATAGGGGTCTGATAAATCACACATGCTGGTTCAAAGGAAATCGTGAGCAACACTCCCACCCCCAACTTCATATTTCTCCATTTTTGCTACCTGCCCTGCAGAGATGGAAAAGACACCGAACCAGGACTCAAAAGGTGATAACTTAAACTTTTGGACATCTTTCCAGAGATATCTGACCCTAAAAACCTAAAATAAATTGTTCTTTTTCTAAAGGATCCTCCAGTTGGCAATTGTTTTCCAATGTGATGGCCCAAAACTTGATTGGCTCAAATTAAGACTCCTCGTTGATTTAGAGCTTAATGCAGTTCTCGCTCCGTCTGTGCAGAAAAAGCCGAAAACAGAAAAGAACAACTTGTCTTCCTCACCGTACAAGGTTATTTATGCAGCACTGAAGGTCTCCATTGCCTCCTAAAGCCATGTTTATCTTATTCAGCTCTCAGGAGATCTGCCTCTGGTGAGTCTCCTGACTACAGCTAACCTCCCAGAGGCATATTAACAAGATGGAAACAAGCAGAGCCGACTTTCCTGGGCAATCCATCTCTGGCTCTGGCATCTTGGCAGATGGGAAGGAATTGGCACATCATACTTGTGCCACCAGCATTGCACCCATGGGGATGCAAATGTTGTGACTGTCAAACTTTGAAGGATGGATGGTTTGTAGTTAAGAGGAGATGACAGAGAATTGTTTTTTTGCACACAGAAAAAGCAAGACAAAAGAACAGGTATTTTCCTTTCAGTCAACTCTTATAAAGAAATGTCTGCATGATGGGGTTTTTGTCTGCCAGTGCCCAAGGTCACCCCATGAAAAGTAACAAATCACTGTACCATCAATGTAAAAAGATATGGGCTTTGTGTGCCAATGAAAATATCTCCTGGGCTTATAAAATCATTTAAAACTATGTTATAATGAAAAATGCAGGAAATCGATAAGATGATACCCTGAAGGGTTTTGTCATTTTATTTGAAGAGAACAATCATGAGCAAAGAGTCTGCGTGAACTGTCTGACATCTGAGACCTTGAAGCAGTGAAGACCTGGATTAACCAACACCAAAAGCAAGACATATTTCAACTGTCAAACCCACGATCTTTGATTTTATTTGAATTTCCTACAGACACTCAAGAAAATGTCTCAAATATTAATACATTTTCTGGGTGCTGCTGCTCTAGCAGTGTCCGCTAATGCCCAAACACAGAGGTTATGCCTCGAGCAGTTGGCACAGGTGAGCCTCCAGCCTGTGGCTCTTTAACCACATGTCACTCTTTCTCTCTCTTATCTTTGAATTTTGATTATTTGTTGAGAATATGGTTGCACAGAGGTTGCTGTCTTGTAAGTCCAGACTGGACACCCTTTCAGTGATTTCACACTGATAAAATGAATAAACTAAAGCTAAACTTAATGAAATGGTTGACTGACCAGCCAGACCTGCAGTTAAAGTTGCTGGCCACTTAGATTTACGGTTTATCAACTGTGTGCAATGTTATCACTTCAACTCCTGTTAGCACAACATTAGCTTTCTGGCTAACAGCTGAGCTGACGGGTTCAATCAGCTAATGGATACGTTTTTTGTTGTTGTTGCTACTGTATCTATGGCCTACCCTCTTGACTGGAGTAGTAAATAGTAAGTTTTATCACATATCTTGTTGGATTTTGGTTACATAATTGTTAGTCGGGCTCTTGGATGAGGGGTTGTTGCTAATGAGGGGTGTCTAGTTATCAGGGATAAATGGACCCAGCAGAGATAGCTGTCCAACATGTTGATTTTAAAAAATGTATAATAAAGAATATGTAAACAAATAGTAATAAAGACAGCAACAAGGTTGTGAAAAATCCATTATTAATGACCAATAAAATCTGTTTCATCAGGGAACCCAATAAATACCTATTGTAAACCATATGAAGTTAAGCACTAGACTACCCTTTCTTTTAAAGAGTGATTTTCTCTATGCTGTTCTGATGTGTCTGAGTTTGTAAACACACCTTCAGCTTTATTTCTCACTGGAGTGGAAGGTGTTGCAGTAATTAGCCTGCTGCTCATCTGCTTCAGGAGCTACTAATCAGCTTAACTCTTCCTCAAACAGACCCCCTACCGAGGGAGCCTTAGCAACAATTTCCATTCTTCTGTAAACTCAGCCCTTTGTGCGGTTGTTGTGTTAGTCATACGCAGGCAGAAGTCTGTGCATTAGAGAGAAAACGGAACAGATCAAGAGAGCTCAAGTTCCTAGTGTGCAGGGTCAGTGCTGTATGAACAGGACAAAATATCGAATCAAAATAATGAACCTGCACAATTCATCTTGACCTGTTACATCCTATGCCACAGGATGTAGACCCTCATTTATACCCAAAGTCTTTGTGAGACCACTCTTTATTTATAAGTAAAAGAATGACAAATGCTTTAATACATATTGCTTTTGCCTGCAATGATTACCTGTATATTACACATCTCTCATTCATCTCCTCTCATAGAGCACATGATGATACTGATTTACAGCAGTCAGCAAAGCATACCTTTGATGTGTCTGCTTATGTGATGGTTACTCAACACTGTACAGTGTCCTACAGCTGGAGACGAGCAGGAAGGAGGAGACATCTGTAGATGATAAGAAGGTAAAACCCCCTCTGTGGTCATTAGCATTTCTTCTGATCTGTTACTGCTGTCATCATAAACTTGCTGATAAAAGTGTGTCCTGTCTTTAACCCTAGACCAAATTTCCCATCATCTCAAACAGAGTTGAGCCTCTATATGCCAGAAATCACATAACATACTTTTATTGGTAGTAGTAAACTATACCAGTGACTATCATTTCCCAGTTTTTAGGGTATTCTTATTGAATGTGTGTCTCAGTGGATATCTTGGTGTTTAAATCTATGAGTCTCTCTTTAAGCCTCATTGTGATTGGCTGGTGAGAAGACCAAAATTGGAACTTGGTTTTATTTTAGGATAAAACCCTGCCTTTCTTGTCAGTCCAAAAAGACAGTTTTTTGATATTTTTGTGTCTGTGGACTATGGACTGTGATATCTTGTACATGCACCCTGTCCTCAGAGCTTATGTGCTCTGGAAACTGTGTATCATCTATCATGGAGTACTGAGGGTTATCACTTTCTAAAGCCCTCAGTCATCACAGTTAATGTCATGAACATGCTGGTTGGTTTCTCTTGTCTGCACATGGATTAAAAGCATATTTTTGTTTCCAAACCTCCAATCCAAATACCAGATATTTACCTCATAACAACAGGTTTTGTCTCCCAGCGCTAACATTTTAATCACACCATCAACAGGAAAAAGTAAGCACATGATCAGCACACAAGATTTGTCTGATGTGTTCTAGACTTCAATTTTGCCAATCAGAATTAGTAATTACATTCATGGGTTTTGAACATAGACTGTATATAGTATGGACAATGTGGCTCTGCCTCCCGTCATTGTGCAAATTTGGAGCTAAATCGCTCTTTGTATTTCCGGTTTTTTCTCCATTTCCTGAAACCTGCATTTGCGCAGTAGCGTTCTGTAGGAGAGTCGCTGTGATGACGCTCTGCTCAGACAGCGTTTTCCCCAGATGCCCTATGCAATCTCTGCACACCCTCAGGTTGTATCAGGTGTCAATCATAGAAAAGATGAACCTCCTAATAACTTTTAAAAATGGAGCTGCACAGAAAAAAGAAGAAAAAAAGAGGACTTGAGTTCAAACCAGTCTTACAATAACTACATGTCAACCTCACAACCAGGAGGGAGTGAAATTTATATTCTGTATAACTAATTTCTAAAGTTTGTCAACAGCTCTGTTATGTTTGCCGGAGGAGGCGGGGTTTATGACCTATACTGCAGCCCGCCACCAGGGGGTGTTGTTCTCATGGAGGCTTCACCCAGCGAGGAGGCAGATGATGTCTATTCTATATACAGTCTATGTTTTTGACCAATCAGAATCAAGTATTTCACACAGCTGGGAGATTATTTAAATAATATATAATGCATATTATTATTTAGTTATCAATAGATACATGTCTGAAGCTCATAAACTTATTTCTATTTGTCTTTTGAAGGGACACAATAAGTGTGAGAGGACATGAGGACTGAATAATTAATAGCTTATTTATATTTTGGTGATGTCATGCCTCGTGGGTGAGATTCATATTTAACCCACTCCTGTGACGGGCACTTTGTCTGAGACATGCTGACCCGGGTTTATAGCAGTAAGACGCCACTCAGCAGAATGGACCTGCCTAAGGCAGCTTTTTGTGTTTTAATTAAAGCCTCTTCTGGTCATCTGAGGAGAGTAAATAATCAGAGTCAATTGAGCTTCTCACCACACTCCACTATCTGCCTAATAGACTGAAGCCTTTCTCAGGGGGAGGGGTTGAGCTGCTTTTTGAGGGAAACTTAAAGTGATCTTATCTCACATCTCCTGTTGGCTCAGTGTGTTTACATGCACAGATAAGTTGTGCTCAATCAGGCAATTTAATTTTGTCCTTGTCCCAGTTTACATGCTCTGGGAAAAAATCAAATTACTGACAGAAGCATGTAAGCTGGAAACATGCCCCCTTTCAGCTCATTATTATCAGGACTTTCTCTCCGTTGACCATCTTTATTAGGTATCAAAATGATTAACAAAATCCATCAGCAAGAAGCTAGCGAGTGTACATAATACATTAAAAACACGGTCACTTTTATAGCTCTGTATCGTTTGTTTAATTGATGGGAAAGTTTGGTGTGTTTGTTATTTCTTCATCTGTTGAGGTTTCTCTGGAGATAGATGATTTACTACCTCAAACATCATGGGCTCAATCCAAAATACACAAGTGTCTCAATGTGAATCACCTTTCTTGTGGCAGTCATCTGCTCCTGTGGTTTCTTATAGCATTGCTTTGTAGATAATACCCAGCTCTTTCTGTCACAGTGTCAGTGCGTATCTCTTCATGCCTTGCTCTCTTAATGGATGAAGAAAAACCACCTCCAACTCAGCCTGTCTAAAATCGAGTTTCCTGTCATCCAAGCCAGGCCCTCTATACAACCAATGATCAATATCCTGCTAGAATCAGCTGAAGTCATGCACACAAAGTCTGCCTGGAGCCTCCATGTCATGATTGATGACCAGCTAACCTCTGAGGTTCATGTTGGCTTGATTGCCCAGTCAACACTGAGCGTATTAGACCCTATCTGACAGAGCATGCAATACAGCTCTTGGCAAAGGTCCTCTAATATCACACATTAATTACTGCTGCCCCTTACAGACAAGCCTCCGTGCATACACATCCAAACCTCTGCAGATTATCCGCAATGCAACAACGCAGTGCAACCCAAAACAGCATGTTGCTTCTAGTTGTCTTGCATCAGATTAAAGGTTGAGCCAAAAAAAACAAAGCTAAAGGGAACGTTTTTATTATGTATGTCTAAAAAAGAATAGCTGAAACCCATTGTGTAAATAGTCACACCCCAGGCTGCAGGATCGCCTGATTCTTAAAGCAAATGAGAGCAGATACTCTGATTGGATTGTGTTATCACTAGAAAACACTTTTGGATAGCTTGTTCAACCTTTTGTACCCTCAATCTCAGTTGGTACCAGATTGTGTGTCTTGAAACTACCAACAAGTCACCTTAGAGATCCTGCAGAGTCAGCGTGAGACTGAGGTCAAGATTTACTCAGACAGACTATCTGAGTCTCAGAACAGCATCTGGAGTCCGAAGGCTGAACAGGACGCCATGCGTCATCAGATCACACAGAAGCTGGGTTTCCTGCACTAGACTGACAAGGGAAAAAACATGGAGCTGGACAGGCTGAGAACTGAGCTCACCCTTCACAGCCGATATAATGCAGCTGTCTCCAGTGAACTTCAGAAATACAAAGAGGATTACTGGAGAAGGACAGGTCAGATGGCAACACCAGGACCAATCTCATGGCAGATGGTGACACCAGGACCGAGCTTGGGGCAGAACATCCAATGAGCATCAGCCTTTGCTCCTCACATCCAGCCCCACCTGCAACACAACCTGAAGCTGAGCCCATGGAGATGAGCAGAGCACCTGGACACAGTACTTCAAGGTCTCAACAGTGGTCTGTATCGAGACATACTCGAAAACCAAACGGCTCTAAAAGCAAGTGGAAGACAAGATAGTCCTCCCTTCATCCGTATCTGCCCTTCCTAAACCCTACCCTCCTTTACCTCTTAATCCAAACCCCTCCTCCTTCTGTTACCCCACCTCTCCTTCCCAAACCTCTCCTCTTCGTCCTCCAAACCCATTCAAATATATATAAAAAAGTGTTTCTACCTCCACGGGTTTATTTATTCATGTTTTCAGATGTCTGAGAGACGAAACAACAAAAATTAAGGTCAGTTCATGATTTCAATAATAAAATGATGATTAAACACATGCAAATACAACATAAAAGTAATGTTAATATGCACAGAGTTCTATGTTGGATTCTGTATGATAATATCCAAGTCTACGTATTGAAAGGGTCAATGAGTGTCAATTCATTGTTGAAGCTGATTAAACTAGATCTCAGATCTGAACTGAGTTCGATGAATATATCCAACCTCTTCATTTATTTAGTGTGGAGAGTCTACAGAAATGGTCAGATCCTACATGTTGCTTAACCCTCATGTTGGTGAAACTGTGAAGTTGTCCAAATTTTTACCGTCAAATACACAATACATATTCCTTCATACAACAGCAACCCTCTTCCTCTTCTTTTAATCAATAAATCTTTAAGAAATAGAAAGATGGACAGAGGAGAGACTGATAGATGGAGGCTCAGAAATGATAAGTGCTGTTATTATCATTATCATTATTATGAGTGTGCGAAAAACAAAGTGAACTTAACCAACATGACACTTTGGTTAGGCACAAATAGCATGTGAACAAGTTTACGAGTAGAATTATAAATCTGGTGTCAATCAAATACATGAAAAGACTACAGTGTCTTAACACAGCTTTAATGGGACCATAATGAAGCATGTTGGGGTCTTTGCTTCTGCTCTCCCTGCCTCAAGTGCACACTACAGGTAGATGTTGACTGTACTGTTGGTTTTACTTCAAAGAGACCCTTGTGTGAAGGGTTCATTCATTATTCAAGATATCATATTGCACAGGGTGCATTGGAAAATTAAACTGCAGATTTTTTCTAGGTCATGTGAGAGGTCATGGTGTGGAGATACCGCTCCTGAATTCACTCAAAACACACGCATGAACACAGTGAACAGATTTTCATTCACAGACATACAGAGTCTATTTTCATACACACCTGATCATCAAAATACAAGCTTGGCCCCCGTAGACTCCTATCCTCCTGCGGGACTGACACCAGTCTCTTTGTGCTCATCATTTCAGAAGGGTCTGCTCTTGTTCATTTTTACACTTCTCTCTCATAACAACTAGTTAATATATGATTTTAGCAACTTCCCAATGAGTAAAGTTCAACAGTTTTTCAAAACCTTGCTGCTTGCTTGCAAAAACTGCACCTGCCTGGCTGGCCCTCGACTCCTTCTTACCTGCAATGCTCCGCCAATGAAAAGCACCTGGTGCTCCAATCACAACAGGGACTACAATCATTTGTTAGACTCTTCTCCTCTGTTGGTTCCTGGATGCCTTCAATCTGCAGAGTCCTTTCCTATCCTTAAGAAAAAATCTGTAGACCCAAAATATATGTTAAACAGCAATAGCAAGACTAAAGAGGATAAAAAGTTAAGCACAATTAAAAAGTGCAAAACAGCAAAAGGAAATGTGAGTATTAAATTACACAAATAAGGAAATTAACATGAAATCAAAGCAATTCAAGCTGTGATGGGAAAATTGAGGATATCAAGAAACTCAGGCAAAGGATGATAGAGGCAAATAAATAGATAAATGCATAAATAGCTCTGAGCAAAAAAAGAAAAAAGAAAAAAAATAGCTCTAAGAGGACAGAATCACACTTCATCTCCACAGGGAAGCTTTGTCAGAGTTGAAGGGCCCAGATCGTAGAGGTCTCCAGTCTGAGTCTAAATCTAAGTCTTTTCTGTGGCTTCTGTGCTTTACTCATACACCAAGAGTTTGAAAAGGAAGCCTCGGTAGACAGACATCATTGCTGAACCTCTTTCTTTTACTGCCCTCTTTTTAATATGTTACCAGCCACTCTCCTCTTTTGCTTACATACACATGCAACTTTTGTGTTTTTTTTTTTTTTCCTTTTTTTTGTCATGAAATTCTTGGTGTCTTTGAAGATGCTCCTCCTTTCACTTTAAATGTCCAACCCCCTCGAGGAATAAAGTCAGGGGTTCAAAGCTGAGCTGTTCAGCTGTATCAGAACAACTTACAGCTGGCAACAGAGATAAAACTTAGGATGCAGGGGAACTGGCACCCAGTCTTCAGTGACAGTGGTGGCTTGACGCCTGGTGTCCCAGGGTCTCTCTTTGTTCCTCTAGCGGGAACACTTCCTCCATGCCAAGGGGACCACTGAGGGGGAACAAAAAAATTATGAGTGTGAAATGTTTGGATGTATGAGGCAAATCAGGAGGACAACGTGTGGATCAATCTATGGGTTTGAACTCATTTACATTTCCTGTTAGTTTGTTATATTTTTGCAAGAAAAGCAAGCATGATTATGGTTGGATTGTACTTTGACCTTTTCAAAAACATCCACCAAATGTAGATGAAATAATGAGCGCTGTGTAAAACTGCCTCTGGTTTAAATTAAGCATAACTCACAGAGAGCAGTGGCCTCATTTAACTGAGACTGTCAGCAGCAGAAAGGTTGTTTGAAAGGTTACGAGTCTTATTAATAATACCTGGAAATCACAACAGGTCTTAACAATCCACTTATTTAAAAAATGAAGTCTTACTTATAAAGAGAAAGTAGATGTGGATAAATTACTTTCTCCAATACATTATATCTTTAAATTCAGAAGTTTTAACAGTTCACAGTAAGATTCTCCACCCCTGCATAAAGTTTGATGCAAACTTTTGGGTTTACTCTCATCTATATTTCAATAGTTTATAACACTATTATAAAAAAAAACTTTATTTCTGTATAAAAACAGACAGGTGTCAACATATCTTGTTGGTGTACACATCGAGCTGTCAGTGCAGTAAAAGTCGATCCTGTTTCATTGTCAGTGTGTGTCAGCGCTGTTGACAGGCTGTCACTTTTTCCTGGATGCTGTCATTTAAGACAGATTATTTAGAGCTACCTGTGTAATGTATTTGCAGTCACTCATAATGTTTTATTATTTCTTTAACACTCTGCATTGTGTCAAAAGAGAGTTGCATCTCCCCCTACTGTTTTGACTGTAGAGCACTACTGCAGGATCTAATCACAGGAGACAATGTGTGGTTGTATTTGTAAAGTGTAGGTGTTGCTTTTAAGTGTGCTTCAAAAGATATCACCTCTGACTTTTTGAACTGACCCTACTGTCTGGAATGGAAATATACTGAGTTAACTCTGACTCTGAGGGTCATGTAAAAGCTAATAGCTACTCATCCCAGTCTCATGTAAGAAAAAAAAGTAAATGATTCCAACATGGTTTTTGCTTGACATTAAATTTGGCACTCTTACTACAGTGCAAACATTGAAATGACTCACTGAAAAAGCAGAGAAATAATCACTGTAACAGATTGTAACATGATTGAGAATACATACATTACGCTCACTCTTGATTGACAAAACTGTGCCTAATTTTTCTACCTTGGGCATATTTTTGGATCATATCAATTCCTCTTGGTGCCATTAAACAATATATAAAAATCAAAAGTCTGAGTCTGTTTTGGCCCCAAAGTTGTTTCATCTGTATATCAGTGAAATATGCCATGATTCCAGCAATTTGCAATTTCCTTTGCTTGCTAAAGACACACATATTTTTTTTGTATTGGGGATGTGAAATTGACTACAGATACTATAGCATGCAAAATGGTTCAGCTGAGGAGGTGGTCTGATTAAAAAGTAAATTATCCTTAAAGTGGAAAAAAAAAACAACTAAATGCTTCCTTTTTAAAAACTGAAAATATCAGACAATTATCTGAGTGTGGTTGTTTATAATGTTCGCACTGAAAGAATGTCTGAAGCGACCGCTAAAATACTGCTCAAATGGTTTTCAGTCGAACAAAAATGCAACAGAAATTATGGGCTTATTGAATAAAGCTGATTGTTTCTGTCTTTTGAATCCCATTGAATGCTATTTGTGGAGAGAAAATCAACAGGTTCACCATGTGATTTTGTGTTGCGAGTGATTTATGTTGTTATTTAGAGCGGGCAGGGATGTTTTATTTGACCTGCACCTGTTTGTTCATGGACAGAGTAGGCCTATAATTTTGAAAAGAACTATGTAATGTGAGTTGTGTTATCAAACACCACAGTGGATAAACAAACTGAATATGAAGACTAATATAGATAAAATATAAAAGCAGGTCCCCGCTTTGACTCTGCGCGCTTGGATGTCTTCATGGTTCTGATCCTCTTTATAATTAAAAAAATAAAATCTAATGTTTAACTGTAGACACTGTTTGAAAGACAATAAAACAACCAGAACGCTGAGAGATCAGTGGATAATTGCATAACTATCTTCCAAACATAACTACACTCTGCCCTGTGATATTTACAAAGAAAAAACCCTTCACTTAACATTTCAGATTACATTTATCTATCAGTATCTCAAAGCATTTACTTTTTTGTCTAGAAATTTGACTTTTCAATAATGGATACACTTTTTTTTCTCTGTGGGTTTTGTATTCTCCATATGATTCTTGTCTTTGAAAGCAAGACAGGACAGAAAAGCATACTTTGGAAACCAACATTTTCTTTGTAGCAGGTATTTTATAAGTGCAATTCGATCTGACAGAAAGGCTCAGGTATGTCTGAGCTCCAGACCTTTTCACTAAGACTGAACCTGACCAGCCTTCAGAGGAAACTCATTATAGCTGCTTGCATCTGTGGTCTCATTCTTTTGGTCACTATAAGCTCATGACCAGGGCCAAGGATGGGAAAGATCAGCTGTCAGAGCCCCATCATCAGACTCAGCTCGCTCTTCACCATAATGGTTCAGACCACTCTCCGCAGTTCTTGTGATGCTTACATGCCTGTCAATTTCACACTCCACTTTACTTTCATAAACAAGACCTCCAATTATTTGAACTACTTCTCTTGGGGCCTCCTTTAGATGTCCCCCATCCAGACGGAGCACTTCAAATACTATGGCTTTTAACTTGGAGCTGCAGACCCTCTTCCCACTGGTCACCCAATCTGAAACAAACCTAAAGAAGCCAACGGAATCACATTATCTGTAAAAAGCAGAGATGATATTCTGAGGCCCCCAAACTGGAGTTCCTCCTTTCCCCAGCAGTGCCTTGAGATCCTCTCCACAATATCTCAACCAGAATTTGGGAAGGGGAAAGGCCACTGGAAACTTGACTTTTTCCAGCACCTCACACCAGGTCCCAGTGAACACATAACACATGCAGGGATCAGGGTTGCCCACTGACAAGAAAAGATTTGCTCCAACTCCCTGTACCTGCCGTTCAACAACTGGACGATTCCTTTCCAGCACAATAATTTTCACTGGAAGGATGATAGTGTGACAACACACTATTTGGAGCACACTTTCTGGTCCCTCTAACCTCATGGAAACCACTACCCTGGTTAGCTACACTGTCCCAGACCTCCACGACCTCTATTAGACTCAAGCTAAGACACCCCAACAACTGCCAGAACTTTCAGCATCTCAGGATGAATCTCATTTTGCAATTGAAGAGCCTTCTGACCAACTCAGCAACCCCTGACAGGAACAAGGTCAAGTTTGAAGGACAGTTTAAGTCTGCCTCCTTCTTGGAGGACAGGCTGGTTGGGTCCAAAGTTACAAAATAAATACAAAATCATGAAAGAAGGGAGAGGAAAAGTATTAGTATGGGGCCAAAAAACGCAAACACCACACATACACCAATGTCAAACTATTACTAATGTTATTCATAATAAACTAATGAAGCATTTGACTATTTTTAGGGTAAGCAGTTTTCATATTTACTTATATTGAAATAAATGTTATATTAGTACTTTTTATGATCAGGGGACGTCTCATAGCGTTATCTTCAGAGGTGTAGGAAATTGGACTAATATTTTCAGGACAGCGTCGTTTTAGTCTGCTTTTCTTCTTTAAACATTTTTATGAAGATGCTTTTTAAATTATTTTTAAGGTCTTTCTCTCTCCGTATGTTTCCAACACCTCCTAAACAACAATAATTACGGTAAAACACAATAAGCCCTAAAGAGAACGTGTATGGATTTGCTATTGAGTTTACTTTTTCCTTGCAGCCCTGAACGCAGCACGGTGCCACGTCAGCTGACAAGTATCGGAGCAGCTCCAAGTTCACGTGACTACTGTCAGCACGTGACAGTGTGGACCAGCACGTCAACATGGCTGCAGCACCAGAGTGAGTTCATTTCTCTGATTTCTAACGGGTTTTCTTGGCGAATTACTCTAGATATTTGTTTTGTCAGAAAGTTGAATAGTTTCTACAGAACCTCGCAGCGAAACAGAAACACTACATCGCAAAACTTTCGATCTCGTGGGGTTAGAAAGTTGCAGGAGAAAATACAGCGTTAATATTAACATTATACCTGCATTATGATATAAACTTTTAAGTTTAGGTTCACCAGTCACACATTCCTGACGTTTGAAGGGAAATAGTTCATATCGGTAACTCCTCTGATTAATCGCTACCCAATGGAAAGCTTAAAATAATTTAGTTCCAGTCATATTTATTATCTCTAACAATATTTCAAATAAATGGCTTTGATAAAAGTGCTTGTCAGTTCTAAAGCCAACTTTCTGAGTCTTTTCCTTATCTTTCACCTTTTAAATCTGATATTGCATGCTTTTGGAAGAATGAAACAAAGCATACTCTGAACTAAACTTGATGTATTCCAAATTATACCTGTATACTGCAACATCAATACAGCCAATTATTGTCTATTATTGGTGTACTTATATGCAATGCAGACATATGACAATCATAGTTGAAGCAAATACACAAAACAAATACAGAAATGCAAGTTGTTAAGAAATCTGTTTTGAAATGTTTTATCTACAAAATGTAAAAGCTGTTAACTGAAAAAGTGTGTACCAAGAGCCTTTTTTTGGTCCCTGTTCATTGTTTTATTAAATGGTTATCAAGTGATCTTCTGTAAAACAAACTTTATGTTTGGTTATCACACACAGAGCAACCTTGTTATTGTCATTTGATAAAACAGAAGAAGAATCTGCTGCAGTAGTCATAAAGTTGTCAGCAGTCAGCAGATGTGAAGGAACTTCTGCCAGAGGTTGGAACAAACAGCAGACACACCTCCAGATTGTGTAATCCAGTTTTACCCCTTGTACCCGTTTATCAAAAATTAACATAGTTCGACATGAACATGCTTGTCATTGGAGGTTTCAGTGAAATGTTTTTAAGATACAGAAGGTTTTCATTCCTATTTCTGGTCTGTCACAGAGTATTTGGACTGTCATCTAGTTCTGTTGTGTGGACCTTCTTCTGCTGCAAGAATATAATTTACCACCTGAGTGGCTCTTATCTGTCCTCTCAGATACAGTTACACCAGCCAACCTATCCACCAGTGAATGATACAGAAATCCTTGATCCAGACACTCTGAGAGGTTATTGTGGATTAACCTTTGGTACAGTCCAGAGTAGGCCAGATATGACATTCAGTTATCTTATCAACAAAGCCAGGGCTTAGATCAAGATGTATTACTAGACTTATCAGGAAAAAAAGATGTCTTTCTGTCTATATATGTGTCTAAACTTAAACTAGAGACTGACAGGGCTTTGGTTTGACAACCTTTTTAGGTTCAGTCGACCCGACAACATCCTGAGGATAACCTGCAGATAGATCTTTAGATAACTGGACATTTTTTTACAGCTTTGTTTTACAGATATGAAATTATCATTACAAACGAGTGTCATTATTCTAACTCATGTCCTACAATTATCCTCTCCCTGTCAATATTTTTGATCTAAAACCACACAGTGCTCTCCACAGATTTTTCTTCTTCTTTGTGTCTCATTGTCACTTCCTTATGACCCTTTCATAGTGCTTATGACATTGATTCTGCATCCAAGCTTTGAGAGGCTCTGCAGTTTATCAGATAACATGTCTTTCATCACATGATTGTTTTGCAATAAAGTAATTACTGTGGACTTGCTGTATCCTCATATATTCATTATTGTAGACCATGTATGAAGACTAACCCTAATGCAGTGCCCATCCCTGATGCGTTCTGTTTAATTTAAGGTAGCTGAATAACACATCCAACAGTGTGGAAAAATTCCATGTATTCACGGCCTGTAAACCAGTCTTGATCTGCACCAAGACGTCCTTCAGTTTAGGTCCTGTGTCTCAAGCCACAACTTGATCCATTTTGTCGATGCCTTTCCACCGTTTCAGACCCGTTTACTGGCTTGGTAATGACACCCTGAGGGTGTCTGCTGCCCTGTTTGCAGAGAACCGTCAGCGTCTGTGCAGCGGGCTGAGAGCCAAAGATGGGGTGATGCCGCGGTCAGTGGTGGTGCTGCAGGGCGGAGAGCAGAAGCAGAGGTTCTGCACGGACACAGACCTGCTCTTCAGACAGGTAGGTGGTCTTTGGTGGGCAAAGTCTCGACATTGAGGTTCTGTGCATAAGTTACCCATCCTGCAGAGTTATCCATATATTTTTGTCTAACATCTGGAAATTTAAATGTTTTTTATTTGGGCTATAAGTAATGGGCCTACTCAAAATCCCTGCTAACCCTTACAACAATATGTTTGGAGGGTAGGATCTTAAACTAAATAAGAAGCTGTGACTGCTTTTTACTAAAAGATGCAACCTGTTACATTCAGCTTCGCTTTTCCATCCAACAGATATTTGCTATTTTTACTCTTTGTGTTGTTATTCAAATGTTAAGAGGCGCTTTCTAAAGGTGTGATTGAACCCATGATTGAAACCTTTACTTAGGATAAGTATCAGCCCTTCTGGACTTTATTTTGTATCTTTAACCTGTCTATCCAAGTCAGCTCCTTAAACATATCCTCATGTGTCAGTGTCTCTTCTAACTCTTGTTTTAAATGTTTTTTTTTTTTTTTGCCATCCATCTCGTAGCCTGTTAGATTTTGTAAAGTCAGGAAGGCAATAGAAAGAAACAAATAACTAGAAATGTGATTCCAGCCACATTTGAAGGTGGCTCTAAATGTGACTGTAATCAGATTTCACAGGTGTGTCTCACCCTACATGCTGTGAATGCTGAAATTAGATTTCACTGCCTTTGCGTCACCTTTAGTGCGTCACAAAGCACGGCATGAAATCCAGAATGACAAAAGTGCATCAGAGCAGCTGAGCAGAATCTGTGCTTCAGAGTCGTATCAAGGACTACACAGGCAGCAGGCAGCGGTGAAGTTTGGCGGGTTTCTACTCTGTTTTTCATGCGTCTGCTGTCGAAAGCCAGATCCCCATTTTGAGGGAATTAATGAAGTCGGGTATCTCCAGCAGCCCATGTTTTCAAGACCCAATTAATAATAACAAATCTGATATGCCTGTTTTCTGAACAATTGAAGATGATTGTGCCCGATCCAGAAGTACTTTGAGGGGGACTTTATTTCAGTCACATTATTGGCCTATAATGCTGATAGGAAAAAAAATGACACCCAGTTAAATCTTGACATGTACAACAATTACTCACCATATTGAACGATTTGTTTCTTAAGATCTGTAATAACTTTGACCTACCTGTCTCGATCGAGGACAATATCTAATAATTCTGATGTTTTACAAAATCTCCTCAGGCCTTTAGCTGCTCGTCATAATCTCCCTCACTAATGCTCTCTCTTCTTCTTCTTTCCTTTCTGCAGGAGTCTTTCTTCCACTGGGCTTTTGGAGTAACTGAGGCTGACTGCTACGGAGCCATTGATGTGGATTCAGGGAAATCCGTCCTTTTTGTTCCCAAACTGCCTGAGAGCTACGCTACTTGGATGGGAGAGTGAGTCACACTAATCTTCAAAGAGCGCTGCACATGGCCAACAATCACAACCAGCTGGTCTGTAGCCGCAGGCTGTAACCTGAAGAAAGAGTTGACGAAGTCATACACAGTTACATCCTTTATTCAGAGCATAAAACATGTTTTCATACCAGTGTTTGTAGCCAGTCTATTTATTGGTAAAGCCTCCAAGAAACATTTCACACTCTGTGTTCCTGTCTCATCCCAGACATATTTACCGCTCTGATACAAACGCTGCTGCACTGCCTCCTTAAGTGTGCTGTAAACAGGCTTAAGTAGAGTTGATAAGTCAAACACTATTTATCATGATGAGTATTTTCAGTTTTGTGTTTGTTCTGGGAATTATTAACCCTCTCTCGAATCGCCTTTAATTTAACATAATAAAGTGGCATAAACTTGCAGATGAATAGGACTTGTTTTCCTCGGTGCTGCTCTCTTTCAAGATTTGAAAACAGCATTCTGCTATTTTTAAGGAAACTGATTAAAGACTCAGTGTGTGCTCTCACACGCTTTTGATTGTGAAACCACTGCACATAATTATCTGGAAATAACCTGCAGATTCTTGTCTATACCACATGATTTCTCTTTCCTCATTTACAAACCTCAGAACATCTCTTTTAGTCTCCTGACATAGACAAAAATCTATCATAGGTGACTTGGTTGTCATTTGTGTTGTTGAGTTCTGCTTTTCTTGAGTCTTTGCACTGAATGCTTCAAACTGACAGCTGTTCGCCACACTAAGGGTCTGATTGACTTCAGGTTTGCATGTTTGAATAAGTTTATAACCTTTAAAGTACCTGCAAATAAACATCCAAGCATATCTACTAACTAAGTGCACCGAAGATTGTCTCTGAATAACACGTGTTGTCCATTTAGCATGCTAACTTCAATAGATATGCATCGTTGGCTGTTTCTGCACTGGCATGCTAAATGTTAGGGGGAGAAAATGCAAAGAAGCAATGTGATGAAGAGGAGACTGGATTACACACAAACATCATTCTGTTTCAAAGTCAGTTCTTATGAGCTGTTTTAGGGTTATTTCAAAAAAGTCAACAAAGTCTTTAAAGGAGAAAAACACCATGATGAAACAGATTTATCATGACCTGTATTTGTCGCCTGTTCACAGCCGCTGCAGCCTAAAGAAAATGAACATTTATGTCTTCATACTTTCCTCTTCTCACTAGTATTACACTCTACCTAAGATAGAAATTAGCGAGTTGCTCATCTCAACCCCCCATCCAGCTGTCTGTTGTGTGCTAATGTGGCCCGAGTACCCCCAGTGCCACAGAGGACACAGCTCGCACCCCCTGCGCAACAGATGATGACCCGTCTTTAAGAGCTGCTGACTGTTGTCAGTTTGTGCACTAGACTGCGGCTCGGCAGAGATGATTTGAGGACAGGGGTGGGGACGGCCTGTTTTATTTGCTGAAGTTTTATTACAAGACATTTTTTTCTTCACCTTCCGTCATCCTTGTTTTCCCGACAGCGTTGATTTGACATGTATTCTCCTGTTTCATGTTCCTCTCAGTGATTTTCAGAGGTCTTCGCTCCCTGTCAAAACTCGCTGTGGTATACGACAGTTAAACACGCAAAACCTGAATTTAAATACCACCGTCTCTGCAGCACCTGGAGTAATTTACGCAGTTCTTCTGAGTTGAAATGTTCTCCAACAAAATGAGCAATTTGATGGGATGTGTATGCTTTTTAGTGCTTTTTCTATGAAATCTTAGTAAATCAGGCCCAAACTGTATGAAGACGTTGACTGTTTTCTTCATAATAACCAGAAGGGGGCAGCTTTACTGGTTAAAGTCAGATTGTGTTGAACTGTTGTGATTGAAGATTTTAAAAAAAGTCAGATTTCAACTTATTTAACATCTCAGTGAACAATTGTCTAGAGTTAATACACATTTGTAGTCATAGTTGTAAATCAGCTCTTCATAAATGCACCATGATTTTCATTTTGTGAATTACAGTCCAATTTAGAGACAAAGACATAGACAAGGTCACTTTACCAGACAGTTAAAAAACCATCAATGCCAAAAATGAAGTCAAATGAAGACAGAGTTTCTAAAAACATTCCAAATAAATTTTTTTTCTGACTGGATAAATAATGCTGAAGTTTTTTTGATTCTCAAAATTCACCAGATATCTTCTCTGTGTGTCAACAGGATCTTTCCCAAAGAGCACTTCAAGACCAAGTACGCTGTGGACGAGGTGCACTTCACCTGTGATGTAAGTCTGTCTCCTTTGGTGTTGGTCTTCACAGCCCGTGTGTGAAACCTTTTTTTTGTGCAGCTCGTGAACCTTGGTGTTGAATCACTGAGGTATGAAGTTACAGGAAAGGACACTGCTACCTCCACAGATTGTTTTTAAAGGTGAAAGTCATTGTTCTTTTACTGAAGACTCCTGAAAAAGACACCAGTAAAACCAGTTCTCATGTTATACTGGAACCGTTGAAGATAAAAACTGTGGCTGTAGACATTTCTAGCTCCGCACATCACAAAAATGTACTAATGAAAGCCTTTTTAGCCGAACAGATGTGTCCCAGGGATGTGAATTTATGCATGAAAAGTGTTGAGATACTCTTTGAGGTTGCATGTGATTGGATGTTGAAGGCTTGTGTGAAAAGATGTCAGAGCTATGGGTGTAGATATAACATAAATGGCCGTGTTATACTCAGTCTCATACTTCCTCATGTTGTTTCCTCCTGTCTCGATCTTTGCTTATATTTATACTTACTCTTAAACGTATGTCGCTTTAAACACGGGTATCAGCTTAATGACCTTGTATCTTTGTAAGAGCTATTGTCTGAGTGGAAATGCACGACAGTCAGACTCTTGATATTTTATTGGCCTGTGAAATTCATCTCTAACCATGCTTTCTGATATCTACCTCAAGCATCGTTAAGTGACCTTTATTTGACCTTTTTATATCATTGAACTTGTGTCTTGCAGTTGCTCTCTCTTATTTACTGACTTTGTCCAAAAATAACTATTCCATTTCCAGCAGTCTAAGATTGCCTGTTTAAGCATGGAAACTCTCATGCATATATATATATATATCAGTGATTCCCAGGGGATGTATCCTGGAGGGCTGACAGCTCCAGAGCTATTTTGGAGTTGTGCATGCTTATAAATCAAATAGTCATTTGACTAAGAAAAAAAAAAGGGGTTTCTAGACAGAAATAAATGTGCAACTGTGTGTGATGACTTCAGATGCAAACTTTCTCTGCACAGGTTTGTGTTGAATGATCACACGTAGCTCTATATTTACTCCCGTGTTAACACTGTGACCTCCCGATGACTCATCCTTCTGATGTTATTTCAGGTTTTTTAACATCCACACACCTGCCTGAGGTGTCAGATCTCCTAATTAGTCACAGGTTGAGATTCAAATTATCACTTCTGTCAGCAGCTGATTCTTCAAGCTCCTGACTGCAATGTAAGTGAAGAAAACGTTAATCCTGCGAGAACTGCGTCTGCATTTGTGTAACTCACACTGGTATAAAACAAAGAAATCAGTTCCCGGTGTTCAGCATTCAGTCGGCATCACAGCCTGCAGAAAGATCCAAAAGAGAACAATATTTCTTTTTAAATCCAAACTAGGTCATGAATATTTGATCAGTTTTGTTTTTAATATATTTCAGACACACATAGAGAGTATTGTTGCACGCACTCTTTCCTCAGCAGAGCTCTGTTTATCATGGAAACAGTCAACATGGCAGTTTATGGAGGAGTGTAAATAATAATTATTGTTATTTTAAGTATCCATTCGGTGCTTTCCTGTATGATTTAATATAGGCAGAGAGTTCTTAAGTCATATTCGTAGATCTCAGATAAGCTGAGGAAGGTTCAAGTCAGTCCATGAGTCACTAATTTGCAGATAACTTTCCAAACTCTTTGGTACGACTGTATGTGAGCATAAAAAGCCCCGGAGCGTCCTCACTGGGTTCTGTTAACATTGACTTTTTCAGTTAATCTATGCCCCCTTATATTTTCTGCAAACTCCAGAGTTGTTTTATCTGGTTTATCTGGATTTATTTGACTGACAGGTGTGTTTTACTCCAGAGTCTTACATCTCCTGCACACATGAACAAATCTTATTCATGCTTCAAATAAATTCAAATCTCAGAAGTCTCCCATCAGATACTTTTTGTCATAAATTTTAAAATATAAATGATGAAGGCAACCTTTCTCTACCGCAGGTTGAAGTAATTGTTGCTTCTGTTAACTGGCTCAGAGCTGGTACTTTTTAGCTGTAAAACTATTGTCCTCAAATGAAGTTGTGATTGAAACTTGAGGCTTTTGGAAAGCTTATTTTCTGACGGTAGGGCTGGGCGATATGGCCTCAAATCAATATCACGGTATATCGAGCAGTTCACCTTGATAATGATAAAAGGACAATAACTACTCCTCAAGCTGCTCACCCCCTCCCACATTAACTTCGTCTACATCAGCCGTCACTTCAGCCACTACAAATTTGGAACCATCTTCCATCTCCTCACCTGTCTTTCCCTCTTTGTTACAGACTGGATGGGGTTGAGTCACGTCTCTGACGTAGAACAGCATCTTAAAGAGACATGAAACCATAGCCTACCTACACACATCCAAAACCAACTTTTATTCATTTGTTTTTTTGACACCGAATATACCGATATGAGCAAAATGATGTTAGTTATCGTCATAAATTTCGGTATCAGTACATTTTCGTCTTATCGCCCAGCCCTATCTGACAGTGTAGAGAAAGTTTTAGGAAGTCTAGTTCAGTGTTATTTTTAATAAAAAACAAAGCTCAAATACCACCAGTCTGTGAACACTGAGTCGGGATCTGTTATCTGACATTTAGTGTGTTGGCAGAGGAGTAATAAAGTTGCTCGAGGTTTGTCATTCAGCATGCCGCTGAGCAGCAGACAGGCCGCATCGCCTCAGCAGCGTCTGCCAGAGTGACCTTTATCTGCAGAAGAAGAAAACCTGTGCTTGTTGTCGTCTAATTACTCCCTGTCTGCTTCCCTCAGATTGCTGATGTCCTGTCCAACATGAGTCCAGCAGTTCTCCTCACTCTGGTACGCTGTTTACCTCCAAACATTTAAGCCATCATTACCCTCATCCATCTTCTGGTTCTTCTGAATACTGCAGATAAAATGGTCCTTTAACTTATAAAACTTGCTTGTCATCATCTGCAGGCAGACTTTTAACGTTCTATCGATTAAATTAAATTTCAGTTTGTGTATGAAACATTTTAATGAATTGTTCTGACATTTGAAAGCACTTGGCAGTGATGTGATTTCACTAGTTTTGTGTCTGTTTTTATTTCTGTGCAGCGAGGACTGAACACTGATAGTGGGAGCATCTGCCGCGAAGCCTCCTTTGAAGGAATCAGCCGGTAGGTTTAATTGGCATGACTTTCCATTAACATAATCCTTTGTTTGTCTGTGAGGTTATTGCTTCTTTATTTTTTTTCTCCACCAAAGATTGTTGCTTATTAAATATGAATTAAACGTACGGTTCCTCTTTTCTCAACGTGTTTCTGTTGTCCTCTTCTTAGCTGTGCACTTTGACCGTTTCAGCTTTTCTTCTTTTTGTCTCTAACTGACTGAAAAAAAAAGAAGATCCACAAAGTTTTTAAATCTAATGAATCCATTTGCATCAAAATCAAGTGGTTCAGGTATAATCTAAGGTGTTGATTGGACTCTACCAGTGTAAAACATGCTGATAATGAAACTGAGACAAAAATTGAAAATGGATGAGTCTGGTTGTGGGTAGTTCAGGGAAACTTTTAGTTGAGTCTCTGCGGAAATGCTGAAGGTCAGGGTGGTTTTTGGGAGGAGACAGGCTGTATAAAAATAGATCTGAAATACAGAGGAGTGATATTTAAAGATCAACTGGCACAGACTGATCATCTCGGGAAATGCAGGTGGAGAGACTGTCGGTAAAGTTTGTCGACATTCAAGGAGTGAAAGTAATTAGAGAGAAATACGTCATGAATTTTTTTCACTCTTTTCATGTATTTTAAGCGCCACTGCAGTCCAAATGGTCTGAATCTTTGTAATCATTCAATAGCCTCGAAAATCAACCATTAAGACAAGCCTCTGCAACATTTAATTCTTTCTTTTATGGTTGTTAGTTTTGCTTTAGGCTTTTTTCTCTTTGTCAATCGTTCTGACTTATTCATGTTTGGTTTTTATATTTTTGAGTTTGTTGTTTTCGAACTTTGCTTGTGAATCTTTTTTAAAAGTGGGTGAGTTAATAATGCTTAATAAACAGAGTTTGACTCACTGACTAAATCAGCTACTCGTTTACTTACAACCAGTTTAACCATCAAAAAATCTTAAGCAAGAAGAAACAAAATCTACTGAATGACAGTGACAAGAGCAAAAACAAAATTAATTAATTAAATCATTTAACACGAAAGCAAACAGACAAAGTACAAACCCCAAAAGGCAAAGAAATCACTGAGATTACATTGACAGTAAACAGGACTCTTCATGCACAGCTAATGTATACGCTCAGACATATGACTGTGACTAGAAGAGCAAAAACAGGAAAGTGAAAGTAAGAAATGAGCAACAAAGTTCCTGGTCAAAATTAAACTGACATATTTCATATAGAAAAAAAATGGACCAATGAGAAATCAGCTGTGTGCAGGTAGTGCTTATGGGAATTGTAGTGTCATATTGTAGCAGTGCAGTTTAAGAAGAGTGTAAAATATAGATAGGGGAGAGTGGGGTAAAATGAGCCATTTTTCATATTTCGGATCACTACATCAAGTTATTCATAGTTTTGTCTCTAACTAGTGTATCTGCATATATTTCAAGATGTTGTTCATCCCTGCAAACCAACAGAATGAGTGTAAACATAACTGTCTTGGTAATATAGCATGCCAAAAAGAGTGGGGTAAGTTGAGCCGTAGCAATTTCTTGTACCATTTCCAAACAACAGGGGGTGGCTCAACTTACCCTTTGGCTTAACTAACCCCACTCTCCACTATAGAGTCAAACTGGGTGTGATTGTGTTGACTGCGGCTGCTGAAATCCACCCACAGTTGGTGGGTTGGCAGGTTCTAGTGTCAAACCCTGCTGTATATATCAGTGTACAGATCAGAGTGATGTTGCCTTTCATTAATTTTTTGAAACAGGAAATTAAAAACAAGGTGAAGAGGCAGAACGTGAAAACAGAGATGTTGTTAAACTTTCATCACAGCGTCTTTGATATTAATCATGATGTTAATGTAGGTTTGTTTTCTTCGTTTCAGCTTCACAGTGAACAACACTCTCTTACACCCAGTCATTGTTGAATGGTAAGTCATTAAAACATGTTTAATCATTTATTCAACAAGCCCATTAAAGATGAGAGTGAAGACTCTGCTCTGGATCTCTCTCATAATAAGCTGCAACTTCTCAGCCTCCTTTAAACTCACAAACCTCAACAGAAACATCTGCCTGTCCGGTAATTGTGAGTGTGCAGCCAGAAACAGCAGCTTTTTCTGGGGCTTGTTTTTTCCGCCTCTCAGAATCAGCAACCAGGCTGCATGGATGTAATGGACTCCGTGCTCACCTGGTTGTCCTTGGCATTAGAGTTTGCACCCTCCAGATGAATTGACATTTCCTCAAATAAGGAGGAATGCTTTTCAGGCACACCTCCTGGGGAGAAAGACTTGATTGAACCCCTCTGCCCCCTCGTCCCTTCACAACCTGCACAGCTCTCTTTTAATGGGCTGTTTTTCTTTTTTTTCCCCTCTTCCATTCCTGTTACTATTGGTAACCACTGCTCATGATATTTATCTGCTTCTATTGTTGTGGAGATTATTAACACTCTCCAGAGTCTTGCCATGTGAAGAATGAAAAATGGCAAAACAAGCAGGCAAAAACTTTCAGTTCTGACTTGAATCAAAGGCGATATTACATTTTAACGAGGTTTGAAACAATTTCAGCAGCTCTGACGCAGAAGATTATGAGAGTTTCTGGGTGAAATATCGAACAGGACAAGTTTAATTGGTCCACAATATTCTTGGAAATAACGGAGAATGATCCGACAGCCATATTTTCTCTACATCATTTACCGTGATATCCATTTTTATTAGGGAGAAATGTTCAACAGCCTCCCAAACGTGCTTCTTCAGGTCAAAATGAATCATATTTGAAATCTGCTGACTGCTTAACTTTACATTTATCGCACTGCTTAACAATCGGGTAGCTTTACGAGCACAATGACACAGATGGTCTGCTCCTTTTTGTTCCTCTCTTTGTCCGCAGCCGTCTTCTTAAGACCGACATGGAGCTGGAGGTCCTGCGCTACACCAACAGGATCTCCAGCGAGGCCCATAAAATGGTAAGCTAAGTCAGGGTCTGAAAGGATTTATTCTAAGATTTCCAACAATAAAATAAAGGAATAAAGCGAGAAGGTCAGAGCATGGAGCCAAACACCCAAACTATCAAGCAGCTTATTGAGTTTAAAACTCACCCAAAGGATTCAAGATGTCAGGGTCCTCTAAGGCTGTAAACTGTTTAAGCGCTATCGATTTAAACTTCATCCAGCAGCTCGGAGGCTGGCCGTTAACAGAGATAGCCTTTGACCAATAAGCTGTAACATTAAAGCAATATTTTACTTCAGCACAGGATTTCACTTTATCACCATGAATAACATCTTGGGGGGGGTTGAGCAGCAGTTAACCTCTCACATTCATCTCGCCTCAGAAATCCATGACCATGAGCGGTCAATACAGTTTCCTTTACAAGTGCCATGAAAGGACTTTCAGAGTTACGTTTTAAGCCATGTGTGCTCAAAGTAAGGGACAAGTTTTCCATTAATGTGCAGGAAAAAACACTGAATGTGCTCATACAGCAGCAGGGGCCAGAGGGCGCCTTGTTTTTTAACTCCCTATTTCTAATTGTCTAAATCCTGCAGACTGTCCTTTAGGAGACAACGTGACTATTAACAGTGTTGGTCTCTATAAAAGCAAGGACATCCAGGCAGCCTGTACGAAAAGGAAGATGGAGAAAATGGGTAAAAAGAAACCTATTATTGGAACTTAAAGTAATAATTTAGCCCTACATAATGTTATAGTTTAATATCAAAAGTGAGCTACCTGAGCTGGTCTAAAATTGGTTCTGTTAGGGATACAGCTCTTCATTTTTTAAAACTCCCAAATCAATATCATTGGGCTTTATTATCCTGCTATCAAGTCTGAAGGGTAGTACAACATTAGGCATTAACATATCTCAAGCTGAATCACCTCCTTAAACTTACATTACCAGCTCAAAAACAAACATAAGTGGTCTACTAGGTCATACATTTTCTGAATTAAGCTGTATTACAGGGCTGCAGATATTGAACTGCACTAAGAATAATCCTGATGGCCAGTGGCTCGCAAGGTTTGCTGAACACTTAAAGCACTTGAGCTACATTTCAACGAGCAGAAGATGAGGTGAGATGGAAATACTGCTGCTGAATAACATCTTCCAAAGGGGGAAAACCATTTATAGCCTAGAACATCAGAGCTGTGCTTTAAATCAATCTAAAAGTGCAGTTTCTTTAAGATTTACTTGAACTTTGTCAACTTGATATACTGCTGAATTGTCCTTCTTTACTTAAAGTGAGCAAACCCAAACTCTGCAGCACCTCCCATCACTCAAATATAGCGATCAAGAGTTCTAACTGGTGTTGAAATCAGCAGGATAAAAAGTCGTCCTTCCACCTAACAAACTTTTGGTTTGTGTGACTTTTGGCGCCCCCTGTGGACAAAAAAAGTATGTCTTATCTTTATGCTAGTTTAGTCCTGTACATGCAAAGGTAGAATCTTAAAACAAAAGAAAAAAACATGTCCTGTCTACATCCTTGACATTTTCTGTCTTATAGTCCTGTTTGCCTTTGTGGGTGATAAAGAAGCATCACTGCTGGTTTCAGTCTGTTTCACAACCAGATGAAAAAACTCCTCACAGTGGCTTTAATAATGTCTCTGTAAAACTGAGCAATCCCTCTGTTCAGTGATGGGGCCTCAATTCTTTGTGTATCCAGTGAATATTGAAATCAATTTCAAGCTAATATGTAAAGATCATGCTCAGAATATGTGATCCCTCTTCTCCCTCTGCAGGTCATGAAGCACATCAGACCTGGACAGAAAGAATATGAAATGGAGAGGTGAGCAGCGCATGCTTTTTTTTTTCCCCCTATAGATCTTAATATTTTTCAAAACGGAAATACATCTGAGTGTTTCCCTTTATGTAATGGACGTCATGCTGACACAAACACAAACACGGCATCTATCTGTCATTGTATCTGTGACTGGAGATTATTCAGAATCATCTTTGACAATAAAACTGAATCAAGTTCAAGAGAAACAAACTGCAAAACAACAACACAGATATAAAAGTACGAATGAAATGAATAAATAACTAACTGGGCTGAATCCAAAGCTTGTTAAATTTTAAAGAGAGGATCATTTGAAAGATTGATAAGTCTGTTTGAAACAGAGTTGAGGATTGTCGTAAAGCTACAAAACCAATTCAGGAAAATGAAATGATATAAAGTTAGAGTAAAAATCAGTTTTAGTCAATCAAAAATGGATGGATGGAGTCTCAAGATCATGTCTGTAAAAGGTCAGGTCAGCTGCAGTGCATATTTGTGTTCATGAAAACCCAACGGTACAAACAGCTGTTAACCCTCAGTTCCTTGTATGTCGGTTTTGAGGACATTCATCAGTTTTATCTTCATTATTTTGAGTTGATAAACACAAGAACTCTATTGACACCAAATTGCTCCATCCATCCTTGTTTGTCTGAAATCTGGACAATAGACTTCCATTAAAAAAACACATTTTGGCTTTGTGTTTATTGCACCAAAACAACATAAAGCAATCTTTTCTATGCAGTCACTTGATTACCAGGGCTCTAGTTTTTATTAGCATTTGATCCATACATTTATTTGCATTTTTTACCATAAAAAATAAATTAGTGTTACTTTGAATTTTTATTTTTATGCTTTAAGTTTATAGTTTATATTGTTGAAGAGATTTAAAGCAGTGAAAGTTAAAAAAAAGTTGAAAAAGATTATTTTATTTACACTTATCTGCATGTTCCATTTCCGGACATACTAACCTCAACCATGCTTCAAATTACAAGGGAGAGTGGGTTAAGTTTCCTAACAAAGGGTTACCCTGATAGTGACCTAAGCAGGGTTATAAATAGACTCTGTCGTCTTCCTGTTGGAAACTGTTTCAGAGTGTAACATTTGTTTTAAATAGACCGATGTCAGGGCAGCTGTCAGTCATGCTCATTAGCCTTTCATGCCTTAGAAGATCCAGGAAATGTGAACTTGTCATCTTTCACAGCGTTTGATGTGTTTGACTGTGTGATGATTAAAGAATCACTGAATGAATTCTTAAAAAGCTCAGAGTCAGGAAGAGGCCACTGAGTGTCTTCAAGTTAATTAGCACCTCCTGTGATCTGTGAGGGGAGATTTTCAGTTTGTGTTTCTTACGGGTTTTTTTTTGTTTGTTTCTTTGCAGCCTCTTCCAGCATTACTGCTACAACAAAGGAGGGATGCGCCACACCTCGTACACCTGTATCTGTGGAACGTAAGGCTTTCAGTGTTTGACTGTTTAATGTCTATCTCATCTCTAAAGATTTATGCTGACAACGTTTAAACGTAGTCGATTTGAAAGGATTGCAATAAAACTGACCTGTGCATCAGAGAGGCTGATTGGTTGATCGTTGGAGGGTCGGCAAAAAAATAACAAAATAGGATGTATGGAGGGTCACAATATGAACAATTACAGTATACAAATCCTAACACATTCAGTACATTGTAACTGTAGTGGAAGGAAAATCTCCTCGTATATTTCTGTAGCACCTTGTATGAGAATATCCCCCCTCTAGACAGCAGCCTCGCTAACCAAGTCATGTTTTTGCATAATTTTTGATGCAGATAGATGAAGCTAAAGTGAGCTATCAACTGCTACTGGATGAGCTGGTGCAATTTAGTTTTGATTAAAAAAAGCTTGCTGGGTTATTTGGATGCAGGAGGAACATGCAGCTGTTGTGCATAACATAAGGTAGACATTGAAAATGTATGAACAGTATTTAATCTTGTGATAATGCAGGTCTGTTTAAAGCCTTCATAATATTGTTGGAACTTCGGATGATGCATTTGCACAAAAAATTACGTTTTTTCTTACCGTACAGACCCATGCAAACATAGGTGACACTCCTGCATGCTTGAGTGGTTTTTGAAGAGGTGTGAACATTAGATTAGATTAGATTAGATAAGATTAGATAAATTTAGATTAGATTAGAATTAGATAAGATTGGATTAGATAAGATTAGATACAATTTTGTTTATCTTTTTGGGGAGATTCCCTCAAGGAAATTAAAAATATTGAAAAAAAAGGAATGATATCGCACTTAAACTAATCTGACCAGTACTGTGCCTGATCTAGTAGTTTGGAAAATTGCATTGATGGAAAAAGAGGCTTTGTTATTTAAAAGGATTTATTTTTTCCAGTCTTCTGACCAAAAAAAAAAGAAAGAGATGCAAACGGTTTAGTAAAAATGGATAATATCTGAGCAGACTTTCAAACCTCTCTAGCCCAGTCAAAGACTTTCAGTGAAGGATGCACATGAATGTAACGTGTATTAACCAAAGTTCTTACAGTCTGCACAAAATCACGCTAGAAAAACGACATCTAACCCCTCTTTTTTCAGGACACTGTCATTTGGCAGCTTCATTTTGTAAGAGGGATTGTGAGACATTTTTGTAGTTATGTTTTGGCCTTTTGCATTAAAGGCCTTGTGTAATGAGTACCTCCTGATGATTAGTGACCCGTGGACACAAGTTGTTTTCAGGGTTAGATTAAGAGCTTGAAAAATGAGGAAACAGTTCTCACAGCAGTTCATCAAGAGGCTCTGCGCCTGATTTAAAGAGTGGACTGATAAAACATGGGGAGGCTGGGGCTTGATTAGTTCTGTGTAATTTTATTTCACATTATTTATTTATTTAAAACAGTGGACACAACGCCTCTATCCTCCACTATGGCCATGCTGGAGCTCCCAATGACAAGACTGTCAGAGATGGAGACATGTGGTCAGTATCCATAAGTGGTTTTTAACCTAAGGCTCAGAAATGCTGGAAACACAAATACAGAAATGATTAAATGGTGATTTTTTTATTTCATCCACCTGCAGTCTGTTCGACATGGGTGGAGAGTACTATTGTTACTCCTCCGACATCACCTGCTCCTTCCCGGCCAACGGCAAGTTCACTGCAGATCAGAGAGCCATCTACGAGGCCGTCCTGAAGTCCTCCAGAGCTGTCATGGCCGCCATTAAACCAGGTCATTTTAAAAAAGATTATAAAGTACACAAACAAGCAAATGTGTAACATTTCACTTCATGGTATTTAAAAAAAAATTATATAAGTAAGTAAGAAGTAAGTAAGAAGAAACTTATTTGTTGTTCCTCTTTGATCTGTGAGAGTATTATTATTATTATTATTATCATTATTATTATTATTATTATTGTCATGTAAAAGGGTCCCAATAAGCCATTTTGCTGAATGGGCCAGCACCAAACAAGTTTTCGGTTACCATAGTGATTGTTTTTGACCTCAAAATGTCCTCAAATATTTTGGATTTCAGATGTTTCTGGTGCGATCAAACCTATCATGTTGCTTTTAATTGTATTTTTTTTATATATAGCTTTTTTTCTATAAATGAAATGTAAATCTAAAATGTCAATGTGGTTTATTTTTATGTTTAGAGGCTTCAAGACTCAGAAAAAACAAGCAAATTTTAGGTGAACATTTAAGTCAAGAGACTCAGACTTATGAGATCCTTCTAGCTGGCTTCATAAAGCTGGTAATCAACCCAATGCAAGCTCTCTGTGAGTGTGTTAATGTTAAAGAGGTGTTGTTTGAAAAAATCTAACCTCTCACGCATGAACAGGTCTTCCTCAGACAGATTATTGTGTTTTGCAAACTCAGAGGACACAGAATAAAACATAAAGTTAACACAAACTCCAGGCTGAAATCAGTACAGCTGGATGATGGAGAAGAAGAGAACTCAACAGAATGAAAATGTGCAAATTAAGGCTTTTATCACTTTCCTTTCAGTTGTGCACGATACATCAGAGAGTTTTGGATTTTTTTTGTTTGTTTGTTCACTCAAACTAATTTGTGACGTAGATGTACTCTGCTGAAGTATGTGACAGATTCACATGTTGTATTTCAGCTGCAGCTCTGACATTATCAAACAGAGAAGATTAGAGGGGATGAACATTCACATGAAAACATGATTTAACAGGAAAGCACATAAAGTTTTACTATCAGAGATGCAAGTCCAAGGGTTTATGTTTAATTTAGTTTCTATTATAGGAAGGACGATATTTGTAAAGTACACCTAAAACTTTCATTAATATTTTTCATATATATGTTATTTTCATGTGAGGACAGAGTGTCCTGCTGCTCTCTCTCCTCTTCTCTGGATCATCTGTGTTCAAGAGAGTTTTATAGGTCACTGAGGTTTTTTGTTTTTTTGAGGTGTGATCAGGTTAGGTATTCAGCATGGGTTACCATGGTGATCTGTCCTGATAAGAAGTGAGCCACCTTTGTCGTACTGAAAACCTAGAGTTAACCCCTGAAGTTCCCTCCCTCATCGTGAATCCTGCTCTGCAGCTCTAGTTCTTCATTAACAATAATGTCAAATGTGTTCGTGTCTAAGGTGTGAAGTGGACTGACATGCACCGCCTGGCTGACCGGGTCCACCTGGAGGAGCTGGTGAAGATCGGCATCCTGACCGGCAGCGTGGACGACATGTTGAACGTCCACCTGGGCTCTGTCTTCATGCCCCACGGCCTGGGACACCTGCTGGGCATTGACGTACATGATGTTGGAGGGTACCCAGAGGTAAAAACAGGAGACTTTTACTCTAAGACAGTGGTTCTCAAGTCCACACCTGATTCAAATGATTAGCTCGTTATTAAGCCATTACAGAGCTTGATAACAAGCTGATCATTTGAATCAGGTGTGTTGGAGCAGGGAATCATCTAAACATGCAGGACAGTGGGCCTCGAGGACTGGACTTGAGAACCACTGATCTAAGACAACCAGCCAGTGTTGTAACAGTCAGTGTCCAGACTGTAGCAGCAGAAAAACACGCTCCTGTCCCTCCATTATTGATGTGTCATCAGTAATAGAAAGTATCTGTGTGTGGAAGTGAGAGCAGGAACAAAAGAGGTCACACTGCAGGAACAAGTTCAGACTGAGGTCAGCAGAATGAGGTAGGTGACATGTGGGCGTGAACCCAGACAATTTCAGGCTGTGACCGACGAGTTTTACCGTCCAGCTTTTCTAACAGCCAAACGCAGACGACATTTAGCCCACTGAGGCTTCAGAGGAACAGCTGACTGCTAACCTGGAGATCGTGACAGTGTTACAAAACCAGGGGGACATCGCTCAGTCCTGTGTGGAAATGTGAGAAACAGAGAACTGCTGCTTTGTTTCAGTTTGACAGGCAAAGGATGTGCTGGAGAGGAGGTCTGAACTGCAGTCTGCTTTTGCTGTCTGGGTAGAAATAATGTCAACACTCAATTTTAAAGACAAGTTTCAATTATATTGTGGCTTCCTCTGGTTATGTCTTTCCTCAAGCAGTGACGTCTATTTAACCTGGCTGCAGATACCATACAGCTCTTTTTTTAATCGCAGTGAAAGAAAACTACTTCCTCCTTTTGCTGCTGATGTCTGAAGCTTAAATAAAATGAAATATTTTGTGGGATTGTGGTTTTTAAAGAAACATATCATTGTCCAGGGCATAGAGCGTATAAACGAGCCTGGACTGAGGAGTCTCCGGATGGGCCGCCTCGTACAGGAGAGGATGGTCCTCACAGTGGAGCCCGGCATTTACTTCATCAACCACCTGCTGAATGAGGCCCTGGCCAACCCTGCACAGAGCTGCTTCATCAATAACCAAGTGCTGGCTCGCTTCCGTGGCTTCGGAGGGGTCAGTCTGCCCGCACTGTCTTATCTGTTGTGTTTTTTTACACTGTGTTTAATAGAAGATGAATTTTGCAGAGGACTAACACCATATTTTCAACTGATCCTGGTGGGAGCTAGCCACAAAGTTGCAGTGAGAGGTTTACCTGGACTCATACTTGATCCACAGAATGACAGCTCACCTCTCCGTTATCTCTTACAGCGAGCTAATGTGCTAGATTGACAAACAAAACAAACACAGCAAATAATTGTAGCTTTATGACACTTAAAATGACCTCTGTACAGTCATGTATGTAATGTGTTTCACCTTGTTAGGATATCTTTCATTAGTTTGTTTTAACTCATGTGCTAAGAGACTGACGGCTGTGTCTCTTTTGTGTCCAGGTCCGTATTGAAGATGACATCGCAGTGACACACAATGGTATGGAGCTGCTGACCTGCGTCCCTCGCACCGTGGAGGAGATCGAGGCTTTCATGGCTGAAGATGCCAAACCCTTCAGCCCCGTCGTCAGCAGCGAGAAATTCTGATCAACATCCAAGAGTCAAAGTTTACGCTGTGGTGTCGTTAATCAGCGCAATATAAGAACAAAGATCACTCCTCATTTTTTTACTTTCACAACACATAATCAACATTGTATTAAGCATAAGAATTAAAACAGCAATGAGAAAAAAAAAACATGAAATGTTCAAAGAAACATCTTAAAAGCTTTCGTAACGCTTTAAAAATTGTGTAGCACTCACTTAAAGGGACAAACTTGATCTTAATACATGAAAGTGTTCATTTCTGTGCCTCTTGAAGAAAGACATTTTTTAAAAGTTTATTCTTCTATGTTCCTCTTTGTAAACCTTGATTCACAGAAGTTGTGAAAATTCTATTAAATGCATAAATTTCCAACCCTGGAGAGCAAGAGTTTTTGTTAATACTGTAGACTATGTGACTGTTTTCTTTGAACAGAAGTTATTTTTTTTTTATGTAAGTCAAAATCTGGACAAAACCTACAGTAACCAGGTAACATCATCTGTCATCGAGCAGAAGAAAATGTCTTTACACCTCCTTCTCGTTATCCTCAAAGGGAAATTCTTTGTGTGGAATCTCATGAATTTTTTTTCTCTGGAAGGAAAGTTAAACTGTGTAAATCCAGTCAGATGAGAGGAGAGAATGACATGGTTAAAGTCTCCTGATATTATTATTAGTGCCTCAGGATGTTGAGTCTGTATCCTAGCGACAGTATAACAGAGAATGCATGTATACAAGTATTTTTATGATTTGAATGAGGAACTTCAGCGGTGAATCCTTCATCTTTTATTGCATCAGATACTGAGTTCATTCACGAATCACCCAAGAAATGTTTGCTGATCAATATAGCCATGAAATTTCATGAAGTTATGGAGTTCTGAAATCATGAAAATAGGTTTCCTTCAAGGTGAGTTTCTGCTTCTGTCTATTTTTCTGTAAGAAAACAATTGGCCTCTTCACGTTATCAGATCCAGAGTAGTGAAATCCCTCATTTGTAAAATTGGTCCCATGTCTGAGTCGGGCTAACCGGTAGATTTAAATCTGTGTTAGTCATTGGTCAGGAGTCTAAATATGGACATTGATCTTTATTTCTTTTTTCAGTATTTGTAGAAGATTAAATAAATCACAGAAAGATCCTAAATTTAAGGACTTGGTTGCCTTATTTGAAAGAAACATTTGAATGTTCCGAGGAAGACGCGTGTGGCTGTAGGTGATTGTCTTTGACTAATTTTTTCTTTTATTTTCACCTCCAACGTTCGTATTCAACTTTTTGTATTCAATTTAGTGTATGTAATGTCAGGAACCCTGTTAGCTGCCCTTGGCCAAGGCGCTCTTGAAAAAGAGACTCTTAATCTCAGTGGGTTGGTCCTTGTTTGCCAAAAACTTAAGAAATAAAACACTGAATACAATACAAAGGTTGAAGTTTAAAGAGGGGCTGTCAACTATGGTCCAAACTGAACTGAATATATTTTAAATCAAATGAGGCAATGTGAGTTTTAAAATGACTTCATAACATCAAAGGTTGTTAAACAAATCAACAGTATTAAGATTCATGTCTTCACTGCAGATCTACCATCAGTATCCAACATTGGAGTTTCTTTCCTTTGTTTTAGTGAAACTACTGTATGTGTTCAGAAATAGCCATGAAAACTGAGCACAGAATTGATAATATTTCAGTGAAGGGACAATGGTCTAAATGTAAAAAAAAGTTAATGGTTTTGGCCGCTAGAGGGCACTGCAGTTCCATTAAAAAAGAAAAAGATTATTACCTCTGCTGACTCCTCAGACAGTTTCCACTTTCATCGTCCATTTCATGCGGTTCAAGCATGCCCTAAAAGCTACTTAAGAGCTGTGTAAAGACAGAAAGAAAAACATGAGTCAGCTTATGGGAATGGCTGTCAAAGGTTTCCAGATTAGGATGATGATGTTTGAAGTGGAGGGAAACACTTATCATCCCTCTACAGAAATCTCAGCTCAGCATGGAGGAGACCCAGAGAAACCAGAACACTGCTCTTCAGAGGATCTTAGCAGGGGGCACTGTGTGCCAGGTGAAAAGGTACTTAAGACTTACTTAAGAGAAGGACTTCACCTTCTTCTGTGGCAGGTTCAGGTTCATCAGGTGTGGGTCATCTGTAGTCTTCTGTCAGTGTCGAGACCTCTTGATACTGAGGAGGACAAACTGGTCTTAAGTCTAACGGTCCATTCAAAACATACTGCACAGGCACCTCAAGGAGGGTTCAAATGACTGAAAAGTGTCACATTACATTTAATAAAGCCACTGTAACTATGTGATGAGTTTAGCACGTAGAGATAGAAATGTTAACTCTTAACTCCTCTAAAAGGGTCAATGATTTAAATCAACCCCCCCCCCCCAAAAAAAAAATAAATAAATAAATAATAATAACAATAATAATAATGATAATAATAAAGTTAGTTAAATATCCATGTAGATTCTCATTCAGCTTCTTGGATAAGAGGCGAAACATCTTCTAAACTCTACACAGTCCAGTTGCCTGATTTTGGAGTCTTAAAGTTAGTTAAATAGATACTGACTTCTGCAAACAGTGACTTAAAAAATAATCAGTGAAATCTATCTATCTATCTATCTATCTATCTATCTATCTATCTATCTGTATGTATGTATGTATGTATGTATGTATGTGTATATACACACACAGTATATATGTACATTTATGGATGTTAGTTGCAATGACTTGGAAATTTTTGCCATGTTGAGTCTTAGCAATGATCTAATATTGCACATCCCCATAAATTAGTTATCATCTTGGATGCTTTAACTTCCTCTCATCTTCTTAAATTACATCAATATACCATCACACGGGCACAATTCAGATCCCAATCTAATATTTATTTTAACTTAAAACAACGGACTTGAATGCATAGTGCAGTCATCTGGAAATCAAACATTTTTACGAACAGCACTTACAAATCAGAGGTAAGTTTATTGTGCGTGGAAGGAACTGATAACATGTTATACAAAAATAATGAAACACTTGAGAGGTACAGTGTGTAGGTTTTGTATAAAAATGAAAGATTACATGGTGAAAAAAGGGCTGCTTCCACTTTGCTAAAACAAATCCTCGTTCAAACCGTACCAGATAAATAATTAAAAAATACTGTCATGATTCATTTTTACAATCAGATATTAACAATATGAATAATTCAATGCTTTAAATGATTGGTGATCTATCAGGGGGTCGTAGAGCTGTGGAATGATCATCTCCCACAGAGCATCATTTTAAATGCAGTTTGTTTCATGTCTCTAAAAATATGTGAGTGTTTTTTCACCATCTGCTTCTACCATCCAGTACGCTGAGGAATGCCTGCAGTCAGTTCATAGGCTGTGATTGGTGGAGACCCAGCGAAGGTTTTACCCCCACAACCAGACAGACAGGGGCCACCGGAGGCCGATAAACCAGCGTCCTCCCTGGGGGGCCACATAAATAAATAAAGAGGAGTTTTTTTCTCTTCAGTTATGGGAGGACTGTCTGAAAAGCCTTAAAAAAGATCTTTATCATTCACTCAGTCATACAGACATATATATATACAGTACAGTTATTACAAGGGTCACACTTAAACCTTGTTGCTGTGCATGATGGAATTTTACAAACCAGATCTGCAGCTCGAAAAATGAAACTCAGAGATTCTCTTTTTCCTACTAATTCAATGCACTAGTAAAAATGTAACATTAGCACCATCTGTGGTTTGATGTACACTGTTTCCAGAAATTCAACTCGTCCTCCGCTTCAGGGCTTACATCTTTGGTCAAAAAAAAGTGTGTCAGTGGTTTAAAGTAAGTGAGTAATGGTATGAATATTGCCAAACATCTGAGCATGAGTGAAAAAGGCCACAATCAATCAAATACTTTCTAAATACAGTCCACCTTCAAAAGTTTAAGGCGCTCTCCTCTTCATCTTGTGTGCTCCACATAAGCCATCGTTGGCTGTAGATGGCTGTAAACTGCCCTTCATGGAAATAAGGTGAATTCTTATTGTGAAATCTTGGTTGGAAATCCAGTTTTCTGTTCTGTTGGTGTGACAGTTTTTACTCCTGACATCTCTCATCAAACTAGAGCTCCGTTTTATCCCCAGTGAGAGGATTTCCTTGTCCATAAGCTGTCTCCAAATGAATCAACAGAATAGTCTCTTCTTCATTTTCCATCCTTGGCAATCACAGCAAGTGCGCGTTCATGCCAAGGTCCTGCTGATCCACCCTCCCTGCAGGTCCAAGGAGGAAGACTGCCTGCAGCAGGTACTCAGTCCATCTCAACGTGGAGCTTTGGGTGTTATCTGCCGACTCGCCTGGAGGACTGTCTGTGGGCCACTCGAGAACACGAGGCGCAGCATGTGGTCTTGTAGTAATCGTACACACAGAGGCGGGCCTGGACCACCACATTGCAGTTGAAGTATTTGTCTCTGCAGTTCTCATCTGACAGGAAAAATAAAGGAAGATCTTAAACTTTGGAGAAACAGTTTAAGACACAAACATAACTCCACATATTGTATTTTGCCTTTTTTAAAAATCTCACTCTTTTCCTCTGCTGTGCAAAGCTTTTACTTTTTCTACTTTTAAGCATTTAAAACTCTGAAATGCTGCATGGCCTACTACTGAAGAACAAAGTTTGAAGTCCAATAGCTTCCTCAAGGTAAAATTTCTGTTTCACTGAGAAAAAAAGTTCTCCCTTTACCCCTCATGCAAAGAGCTGCCCAGCAGGACTTTGGTCCCTGCAGCCAGGCTAGCAGAGAGTCAGTCCTCATATCTTAAAGAGTTCTCAGTTCTCTGTTACCCATTTGGAAAATTGCACTTTTGCTTGTAGCCCATAAAGTTTTCAAAAGTAGAAAAGCCTTCACTTATCAGGGTCTTCTCTTTTGGAGTTATCTACCGCTGGGTTCTGACAGCAGACGCCCTGCTTGCCTTGAGGCTCAGACTTGGTGCACTGAGGTCCTGTCTTCTCTCTCTCTGTATGCATTTGCATCCATATGACTAACTTTATATTTCCCCCAGAGTTTTTGTGCCCTCTTGTCTTATCCAATGATTTGGACCTATATTAGTCTTCTGTTATTACCAGTGAAATTTCTGCTCTTTTCGTTCATGCCTTTCTGTCTATCTGTCAGTCCCTTCATTTCTCTTTCTTGACTGGACTGAAAAAGAAAAACTCAGACATTTTCCAGAGAGGATGTTAGGAGAAGACTGACCTATGCGTGGTATGCAGGGCTCTGGGTTGCAGTCTTCCTTCTCTGCTGGTTTCAGCCTCTCGTCGCAGCCCTCACTGGACAGCATGTCATCAGATAGGCAGCGTACCTCTCGCACACGGAAACCTCTCTCGCATGTTTTTGAGCACTGGAAGGACAGGAGTCAGTGATGAGAGTCTGATCCAGGTCAGTAAAACTCTGTCAGTAGCCATGTTTACATGAAGATTTCATGATTTCTTGATGCGGGACTGGATAATCTGAATCCACTGTTTATATGGGTGCAAAATCAAATAACCCGATCATGACATGCACCAAGTTTTATTCAGATTAGGAGAATTTGGACATGTGCAGAGTTGACTGATTTCACTAAAACAAGAAAGAAACAACAAACCCGGTAGTGGCTCACTCCATCCAATTCAGGAGTTTTCCCCCTGTTGAATATTGTCACTAGATGGCGCCCTTGCATACTTATTTTACTGTTCTATCAAAGGTTGTACTGTGTGTGCAGATGTGACATCATTACGCTGTATGTACGCCTTGTTATGTTACCAGAGGAGCAGACACGGTACCTGCAGTTGTGTTTTATGCTGGAGTGTTAATAATGAAATCTCCTGAACTGGCCTCGACAAATAAACCAAAGCTAAAGAGTGAAGATGGAGTCAGGTAAGAGATTCAAGATCAGAATAAGTGTTTAGATGGACGTGTTTCGGAGTAACGATCGGCATAAGCCACCCCTCTCGGAATACAATTTCTTTTGGATTGAGCTGAATTGGATCAGAATCTTCTGATCAACATGTTTACATGACACATTTTTATTCTGATCGGGCATTTCTTCCCATTATTTGTGCAAACACTCATAGTTATTCTGATCCGACACTTCACAGGCCCTGAAAAATGTATTCTCTCAATAAGAAGAAGATCCATTTAACCATATTTGCTACCACAATTACAACCATTCCAGTTAAATCACACCTGTCAGACTCATTCTTTATGACTTCTCAGGCTCAACATACACTACACTTCCTTGTTTGGATTGTGAGAGTCGTCCCTAGACAAGCAGTTTAGTGGGCCAATATTAATCGGTATGTTGCAGAGAACTGATTTTGCTTGAGTGTTTCTGAACAGTGAAAGCAGAAGAGTTTTTATATCTTACGGCGCTCCAGTCGGTGTGATACCACTTTGCTCCACAGGCCTTCAGGTTGCAGCTCTGCTGGCTGAGGGGACGATCCAAGGAGGAGCACTCATACGGTGGCATGACGGTGAATCCTTCATCAGACTTCATCAGGCACACTACTGATCTCTGCTGGCTGCCTGCACCACACTCTGCAGAGCACTGAGCCACAGACAGGAACAACACATATGGATTTAATAATGCAAAACTGAGACAGGTGGAATGCACGCTGCTGTAAAATCAAGATAAATCCCATATAATCATCTACTCCAGACAGCCTCCCTATAAGCTCTGCCTGACCTTCAGTCATCCTCATACCTGGCTCCAGGGGCCTGTGAACCACTCGATGCGGTTCTCACAGGGGCCGTTGTTGCAGACCTGAGAGTCGGCGGGCCGCTCGTTGCCGCACCCCTCCAGAGGAAGGCTGCTGATGTGGTTATTCAGGCAGAGGACTCCTCGCGTTCGAACGCCCATCCCGCATTCAGCTGAGCACTGCGGAGTGAACAGGTAAACACTTGCATTCAGATTTTATGAAGTTCATATACTAGAGTTAGGCTGGCCAAAGTATTTCATGCACCTTTATCATCTGTTGAAATCCCTAATATACTGAGTCGCACCCTTCAAATTTAGCTGCTATACTGTTAGCTCTCTGGTTCATAGCTTAGCCCAGTGGTTCTCAAGTCCAGTCCTCGCGGCCCACTGTCCTGCATGTTTTGGATGTTTCCCTGCTCCAACACACCTGATTCAAATGATCAGCTCGTTATCAAACTCTGGAACGGCTTAATAACAAGCTCATCATTTGAATCAGGTGTGTTGGAGCACTGTTTTGAGTTGAAATGGAGACCTAAACCTCATCCTGGCTGCATCAAAATCTATGTTAACGATCCACACATCATCTGGATGCACACGGATAGACATATACAATGACTGCCACTGTTATCAAACATGAATAGTCGTCACTATGTGCAGCTTCAACTCAAACACCTACCCTGTTACCCCACTCAGTGTAGAACCAGCTCTTGGCACAGGCTCCCATGTCACAGTTCTCCACATCGCTGGGCCGCAGATTTATGTTGCACTCCTCATCAGGAACAAAGTCGCCCACGTTGCTGACACAGCGAACCTCTCGTGACCTCTGACCCAGCCCACATGGCACAGAGCACTGCAGAGACACAGGCCACATGGTTAAAACTGTGGAAGTGGGGACACTGAACGATTCTTTACATTTTCTATCAATGTGGTCTTAAGATTTGTTTGCAAGTGCACCATTGTAAAATATTTTAAATCAAAAGCTTATTTTTGTTTGAGGGTTTTCAGGTAAGCTGTTTTCTTCTAGATTTTTCTGTCCTTCAGTCTTGAAAACCTCCAGAGTCCACAACAGGACTCTCTGCACAATTTCATTCTGCCTGTAAGATACGCAGACTGATGCTTTATAATCTTCATATCTGTCCCTTTAATATGTATAACAGAGTTTACAGATCAACTCATCATATGTTGTTTCTTTAAACCTGCATCTTAAGATTTAATGTTTACTTTTTGAAGAAGATATAAACTGTGTACATAAAAACAGCTTTTATGTCCTCAGATTTTGATAAAATGACTTATTTGTGAGCAGCTTTTGAACTTTCATTTAGAGCTGTGCTACTTTATTCTTCAGGTAATGCTTGTAGTGAAATAGCACAACATAATAATGATTAATTAATTTAAAACTAGGTTTCTTTTTTTTTTTTTAAGTCAACAGTCACTCTCTGTTGGCTGTTTTGGTCTTTTCTTTGTCCTAAAGGAAATATTTTGCTATTTAAAGCTCCTTGGAGGAAATTTCATATGTGTTGACATTGGCGCCCTCCTGTGGGCAATGAAGTACATCCTATCTCTTCAGTGGTGTTGTCCTACACATGCTGAGGTAGAATGTCTAACCAATCCTCTTCATCCTTCAGTGTGGCTGTCAAATGTATCACTCACTGTGAATATTTACTCCTTATATCCTCCTTATAAATATAAACTCCTTATAGCGGCTTTAATTAGTCACTCCTTCTTCCTTGAACTTCACAGATGGAATAAGGTCAAAATTGTCTGTACTGTCATTAAAAGAAAAGGGGGTGTCTTCAATCCCATTGATTTGTTTTATATTTAAGATTATTTTGATACATAAAAGTAAATACATACATAAAAGTGATCCTAATAACGTTTGAGGTAGGCCAATTTTAATGAACTCACTGCTTTCAGTCAGTTAAATATGAACTGGCGTTTTGATATCCTAAATTTTTTCAGCTGTCTCCTGGCTACAGTGCTGGGCGGGTGTTTTCTCTAAAATGTTGAACTATTTGTTCAGGCACATGATCCTAAAGTCAGAGATAAAAACTGACAAATAAGAACTTTTATGATTACTGATGTCTGAGATGAGAATCCAAATATGCAGACTTTTCTTTGAACCCTGTTTTATTTTCAATGTTATACCCCACAAAAGATGTGAACTGACAAGTCAAACAGATCAACCCAGTCTCATTACATCTATAATCTGTCTCTCACCGGAGTCCACTCGGAGCGGATCTGCCACTCACTGCAGATCTTCAGCTGACATGTACTGGTGATCTCAGGTCGCTCTAAGTGTCGGCAGCGGCTTGTGTGGACGTTGAGGGTGCGGTTGGCGTACATCTGGCGGCAAAGGACTTGCCGGTGCTGCATCCCTAGACCGCAGGTTTTACTGCACTCTGACCACTCTCCAATATCCCAGCTGCTCAGGGGGAATAATCAAAGGAGCTTAGTGTCAGAAAAGCATCATTGGCAGCCTATATGATATGTAACCTTTGTATTAAATTACAAAAAATTGTATTCTTTATCGTCTCAGTTTAAGTTTTGCTCAGGAGAAGATATGTTTCAAGCTTGTCTGGGATTCTGACTGTGAAAGGTTCAACTTATGTAACATTTTATGAGAGCAATTTTGGAGCCTTAGTGGGTTGGGCATGTTGTGAAATCAATTTATTGACCAAAATATGATAAACACACTGCAGAAAAAGGATGACAGATAATTAAGTCGGTGTTATCCTGTATGTGAACGTTCTAAAGAAGTTGAAAGGTGTTATCCTCATTGAATTACAGCACTGAATGTGTTATTTTTGGGATGTTTCTCACAATGCAGGGCAGGGCTGCAGGTTGCAGGCCTCTTCCTCTGGAGATGGTTTGCTGCTGCTGTCACACAGAGAGTCAGACACCTGGGCGTGGTTCAGCCGAGAGACACAGTGAAAGATAGTGTATCTGAATCCTTCAAAAGCAAGAAAACAGCTGTTTAATTTAAGCTCTGAATGCTGCATGTTGTGAGTGTACTTGAAAATGAAAGAGGGGCCAGAGAGTCAACGTTAATCTCACTGTAATATTATGTAACTCTGCATTTCAAGTCCTTTGGGCTTTGTGCAATTTTAATAATACAAACTATCAAGCACACTTATTTTTTAACCTAGTCCTCCAGCAAATAAAAGGTACATTTTCACAAATACTGTGACTGACCTTTACCACAGGAGGCGCTGCACTCTGTATATCCAGCCGGCTTCCAGTTGTACTCTCTGGTACGTCTTGGTGGCTGTACAAAAGGAACCTGGTTGTCAGGGAGATGAGGAGGAAGCCTCCCCCCACCTGATGGAGTCAAGTTATCTTGGTGGGTGTTTGGGTGATGGTCATATCGACCCTGACCATTCACAGTGTTCCCTAGGACGAGCACACATGAGGTTAGAGTCACTGAGAAGTCACTGTGTTGGATGAATCACATGTGTAAGGATCAATACACATCCCTGTGTTCGGACAGTTGTATGTTTGCTGTTAGTATGAGGAGTTGAAGGTGTGATGTGACTGCCGTTTACCATCATGTCCGTAGTTTGGCTGCTGAGGGCCGACTGGTGTCACAGAGGGAAGGATGTATTCATAGTGAACTCCAGGGTTCGGCTGCTGGAAGATCATCTGAGGTAAAATAAGTGAGTCAGCAAAAGTCATCAGAAGTACTTCTCATGTTACAATGTCATTTATGAGACGCTTTAATCCAAAGTGAAGGACATTCCAGGACAAAACAAGCAAAGATAGAGACAAAATCACTAAGAACAAGTGAATGAATCATGAAATATGACCAGATATTGAAAAACTCTCAATTCAAGGCTGAAGTACCTTGAACATGAACAGTATCGGCCTGTAGCTCTTAGTCTGTTTCTTACTCACATAAACATCCAGGATCTCGTTGGTCGGGCCTTCAGCGAGAAAAGATTCCCCTGCTGTGCTGCGGATTTCATTTGGCCTTCTGTAGGTGAACATAGTCCCTCCACCCTCATACATCCCTGGTCGGTCGATAGCCCAGTTTCCATTAATAATGGACCGCCCTGAACGGCTCCGCAGAGCTAGAGGAGACAAAGAGAATAACCGCACTATTACTAACGTCCGCTTTGGAAAGAAAGGCAAGACTCACACAGCGGCTGATATATAATTAATATTTAATGTAACACAAAATGTAAATGATAACATCTAAATCCAGATAGAGTTCTGATGCTGGCCCCTCCACCAGAAACAGTAACTCTTGCTAACCAAATTCAGGCTCTAACCTACACTCTCAAAGCCCTTTACAAATATGATGATCTGTTTGTGCTGGCAAATCTCTGCTGCAAATCCAGTAACACAATCTCCAAAGATGTTTTCCACTGATTTCATGGATTAAGTACAAGAAGCCATTAGAAAAGCATTAGAAGTGTAACATTAGATGGGGTAGTAAAAGACTGTTTGGACAACTAAAAGCACATTAGACATGCACAGTGTAGAACAGAGGCCTATTGAGGGAAAGTCCAGGACGTGGTGAGGAAACAGGAGGTGGTGCCTGCTGGATTCAAGCTCTTATTCCACTTTTTGTTTGTATTTTAAAATGTTCACTCTCATTCTGAAAAAGGAAAAAAACTGCTGCTGTCTGGACCTTTAACATCCTTTTTTTTCAGATTTGCCTGCCTTTAGCAGTAATGGATTTCACTGTCCAAAATCAAAAGAAAATGCGTCACATAATCCAGTGAATCTGAGTGTTCATTAAAGATCAATTCAAGTAAAAGAAAGCAGGGCATGCCCGCTGTCCAAGTGTTTCAGACTTTCAAGGTTCTGAATCCATCCTCTGAGGTTTTGCTATTTTTTCACTGAGAGCAGGAATTCCTCACCTTAATTAAAAAGACGCTGAGGCTTTGGAGGTAAGATCCTCTAATGAAACCGTGTTTTTTCACTTCTCTCGAGGGAAGAGACGGCGGGGGGGATCAGGGCCGTCCCCCTTGTCTTCCAAACTTACTGCTGAACCGAGCCATGGCGCTCATTAAACAATGTCATACATTCCTGCAGTCACTTCTGAAAATTACCTACCACTGTGTCCTACTGTTGCTCCTCTATTAGGATGCCAATTATCTGTGCAGTGTGTTTGACTCAGAGGCTCCAGTGAAAGGCTGCAGCTCACTGCTGGGTGGTATTATCAGCTGCACGCTGGAGAGACTCTGAACAAGTGACACCACCCCCTGTGATCTGCTTTTGGACAAATGATTCAATCCCACAAGCAGCTTCAGCAGAACAGCTGAAATTAGACATTCATAAAAAAAATGAACAAATTACCATCCTGTAAATGGACTCGGATCTTCTTCTCACTAATTGCAGACTTAAAGATGTAACATCAGCTGTTTTCAGATATACACTTCAGGAATTTCTCTAATACTCATAAGCTCATGAAGTCAAATGACACAAATGTGGTCATAGCGTTTAACATCGAAATTGCTGATACGTAAATTTTTAATCCTCTATGTTGTTCTTAATTTCTTATTTTCCTTATTTTTCCATTTCAATCCCTGGATATGGGTCTGTCGTCCATAAATTCACCTCTGCGTGAGCGCCAGGGACGAAAACAAAGTTCATTAAATCTTCAGACAAGAACAGCCCTATTTAAAATAAAAGTTGTCTCTTTTAATGTAAAAAAAAAAAATCTGTGTTTGTACAACTTTTTGAAAAAAACAAACAAAAAAAAAACACTTGTACACAGATCCCCAAATCAATAGAGTGGTTGCCAGGACAGTAGGTGGCAATATGATTTTGTTATGAAAGACCACTGAAAAGTGCGCCCACAAAGAAGAATATGAAGCATATGGTTTCGGTTTTCAAAAAATACTCTTTTCATGTACAGGAACAAGATGCAACAGTATTACAGTTGTCTACTGGATATTTTTTTTTTGTGCAAACCCCCCTTGACACTTGTTTTTGCTTATGCAGCATGTCAGTGTGATGAGAAACTGGAGATATCCACAGTAACATATCAGCATATGGGTAAAATAGATCATAGTGTAGAGCTGCAGAAAAACGTTTAAGGCAGTCTCATCATGTTTTTTTATTATTTTTTTTATCCTGTTACTGGTCCAAGTTCAAAGTGTTTTTCTACCTAAATGTGCCATCTAATGATCTACATAAGGCCCAAATCCTGGGTGCTTTTCACCACTGGAATCATCATTTGATGGAGGATTTCAGTCTATGGAGGTACGCTTCTCCTGAAATCTTAAGGATTTTAAAGCAAAGCATGCTCCCCTCACTTATACTTACCAGTAATACTAATCTAAAACTACTACTACTATTACTACCAACACTTGATACTATCTGCTGCAGTCCAAATCAACTTACCTAAATAGAAATTTCACTGGGCTGCTGGCAAAAATAATAGAGTTAAAGGGATATTCTGGTGTAAAATTAAGTTAGGGTCAAACACACCACAACACCTAGTTAGATCGCACGATAGCAATACAAAGAGTTTCGCAGCTCAAGGAAGAACATTTATGATCATTTCTTTGTGGAAATGCAATCAGACCGAGACGCTAAGGCAGAAGAACTACCGCGTCTGCAGTGCAAAATGATTATTATGATTATTACTTAAAGGGATGATCCCCTGCACTCCATCGATCGACTCGTCAGGGCTCCCCCCTCAAACAAGCGGCTGCTGGAAGAGATTGGGTAAGTTGTGTTTGGACCACTGTGTATTGCGATTGTGCGGTCGATACTAAAACTGGTATAACTAGAGAAGCAAGCGGTTGACAACATTCATCTCTTAAGGAGGTGTTTAACTCGGTGTTAAGGTGTGGTGGACCCTAACTTAATTTTACACAGAATATCCCCTTAACATTTCAACTGTTTGCAGCCCAACTCTGAAAAGTTTACTGCACACGTGAATGGGGCCACAAAACCACAGGGAGATGATAGACATTCTTATCTATTCTTCATTAATCCTGAGCTGGAATACAGACAAAGGTGGACAGCAAATGATGAGACCATAAAACTGGATAAAAACCTGAGCCCTTGAACTTCTAAGAGAAAGTTAAATTAGCTGTGACAGGCCACGAGTTCTCCAGCAAAGACAGCCGAGCTTCACGTCTAAAAATACCTCAAGCAGAAAAACAAAAGAAGATTGATTTCATTATCCAGTTTTGCTCTCTGCTCAAACCATTTAGGGACCAAAGCTTGAAGAAAGGTTTGTTCTCTTAAACTAATGGATACCAAAGGGATATTATTATTTTCACATTTTTGAGAGACTTCCATCCTGCTCAAAATTTGTTTCTGTCACATGGGCATAGCATCAACATCTTGAATTCAACAACATTATTGAAAAGATATTTTCAGTTTGGAGTTACATCAGGTTTTGGTCTGTTAGTGGTTTAGTGTTAAATCATTAACCAACGTTGAAAACAGAAAAAACTCTAAACTTCAAAACATCTGAGTTCACTTTTATATGCCACACTCACATGAGGAGTCCAGATACATGTCAAGAAATTACAAGAATAAAATGGGACTAGAATAGCTTGAAATGACTTAATAATCTGCTAATGAAACGAGCAAATCTGATTTGTAAAGTTTCTTAGTGTAAGAATAATGTCTTGTTTTGTTTCTGTATTATTTTGCCTCCTATTATCTCCTGTTTTGGCTGTTTGTATTTTTTCTGTTCTTTCTTTTGTCAAGTTTTAAAGGCTCTTCTCTGCATGTTGATGATGAAAAATAGCATCTTAATTCCAGGAACTTGACAACTAAATGACACATTAATACTATTGTGAAGCAAATTTCAAAAAATGAGACATTTATCTGGACTTAAAGCATCACTTTGCCTTGAATTAAGTGAAATAATACTTCAAAGGGAACCACAAAGCCAGTCAGTAAGACAGAGAATGACAAACCATCCTCAGTTTACCTCATATTGAACTCATTTGTATCTGAAATCAGAACTGTGTTAAGCTTAGCATTAATATTGTAAGAGTGTTTCTCCCACCTAGGTAGTTCCTGCTCTTCACCATTTCCGTGACGTTGATCTTGGTGGCTCCCTCTGGGATCTCTACTATCTTGTGATAGCCGATCTTGGAAAAACTGTGTCTAAACAGTCCAGAGACCAGCCTGCAGGATGTGTTGTCGCCTCCACACACGCCGCACTTGTCCATCACCTTTCCTGATCCCAGATAGTCATCGCAGCCTAGACTCTGTGGACAAATAAGAAAAATGAGTCAGGGTGAGAAGTGTGAAGTTACTGGTGTTTAGACGAATCAAAAAGTTCATTTGAAGGGTTTGTTGAACCAAACAGGGAAAAAAGTAGGAATACAAACAGTCAATAAAAATGCTGTGTGAGATTTCTTAAATATGTGTGTTTATAAATTATTCCTAATGGCACAAAACAGGGATTGAAATGTTATACTGACACCAAATATTTGTTGATGGACTTATTTTGTGTGACTAAATAGAGACAGTAAGGTAAATGGTGAGCAAACTGACCGAAAACTGTGGAGGAATCTTAGTTCATAAATTTTCAGATGAAAAATAAACTGTAGGCTCAGTTCAGGACAAACAACCACATCACTGTTTGATTTCCTTGACAAACCAATCATTTACCTGCAACAAGCGCACCTGTACAAATTCTCACTGCGTCAATTTACCTTTTTATTATTATTATTTGATGACTTTTTCTCACCTGGTGCACACCAATAAGAAACCTGTTTGGCCAATAAGCCAAATCAAACCAGCAACTAGAAACCTTTTCGAAAGCAGGCAGCATCTTGAAAAATGAGCGTCTCATTACAAACTTTGAACTGTGTATCAGGAAGGAAAAAAGACATGATCTGATCTCATCTTGGATTTGGATGCAGTGCCTTGTGGAGACAAGATGAGAGGAAAAAAAACAAGTTTTAAGGGTCACCTAAAAAATAAAGCTCCCTCAGCAGTGTCTGCTCAGGAATATAGTAATGTGTGATGATTGGATGACATGAATACTTTAAATTAAATGTTAACAGGCCTCAGAGTTCTTTGCAGAATTCATTTACTATTTTATTGTTTTGTGTCATGGTAGCTGTTATTGAAAAGGTAACACAACTCAACAGAACCCCTGTTAGCATGCCCTGCTATATTAACTGTTTATTACCTTTACCAGAGCAAAGCTATGTCATGGTGAACATCTCACTTTATCTACCTGTAAATGCATTAATAAAACTTATACATAGACCTCAAGTTATTCTGGAAACATGAACATAATTCATTTAATCTTGACCAAAACAACAAAGGACACAGGAAGATTCATGTAACTCATCAGGAGGCCTCATTTTGGTGTGACTGTCTTTGAACTGATCCCACAGTTTCCTTCCTGCAGCCCAAGGGTGTGAGTTTTCTGTGCCACACTGGTGGAAATGCATTACAGGAAACCTGGGCACTGTAAAAATAGAACAGTTAAAATCAGCAGTCCATAAATTCACTCAAACCAGCAGTAAAAGCAACTCGCTGTGCAAACAGGTGGTGGAGCAGCCAAGAGCGGTCCCGCTGAGGCACCATACGCTCAAACAAACTGGGCTGTGGTTATGGCTGTGGTGCCAGGTTAGGTCCCAAACTGACCACAGCTGCCAATAAGGAAACCAACAGAGCGCATATCATAGGGGGGATCTTTCTGGGATTGGATTGCAGCCAATCTACGAGCCTTACGCTCAGCTTGCATCTCCTGCTTGAGCTTCATGTGGATTCCCAGACTAGAGCTGACATACTCTTCTTGTAATGCAGATGTATTTCCCACAGAGAGAGCTGGCTTTTAGCTTAGCACAGCATCCAAAGGTGCCAAACCTCACTGCAAAGATAAATGACATAAACACTGCGACAGGAAGTGCTTAATGGTTATCTCCATGGGTTGCCTGTACCTGCAGCTGACTTGCAGTTGTATAGCAGAATGCATGGAGGGGTAAAAAAAAAGCACTTGCTTGAACTCATAAGTAGAGTCTGACTCTTTCACACCAGTAGCAGCTCATTCAGCTCCGTGCCAAAACACCACCTGGGCCAAAACAAACATGAGGTGGGTCCTTCCACACAGGAAATAAGTGATGAGAGAAAAGAGCAGCTAACTACATATAAGAGCAGTGAAAAAATAATACAAAGACAGAGTGCCTCTGTGGTCGCTGTGGAGTAGAGTTGCAGAGCAGCATGGGGCTGGATAAAGCCTGGATAAAAATCATTAAACATAACATGATAACTTCCAAGGATGAAATTCAGGAGCTCACTTTACCAACAAGGGAAAACACTGCAGCAAAAATGGAGCGCATAATTTGCGTTAAAACACATCTTGGGATATTTTGAAAAGCTACAACGAGTCCACCATGGAAAACAAATAAAAAAGCAGTCAAGAAGGAGAATTAATGACACGACGACCAACAAATATCTCCTCCACGTCTCCTTTTTCACTATAAATCCATTCAAACTAAAACAACACCATTATACAGCGAGACAGAGAGTGCCTGAAAAAGGAGAAAATGTTCCCCTCATAAAACAGATGCTGACATGGTGAGAGGTTATCTGTGGCCATTTGGCATGGGAAATGGTCTGAATAGAGATGTATTTATGAAGGAGTGGAGCGTATGTAAGAAATTTATGGACCCAAAATCTAATTTTTCAAACTGATATCATATGACTGTGGACATAAAAACACCAGGTCTGTCTTCTTGAGTTACAGGAGAAGTCAAGATCTTTTTCATGCCTACAACACAGGCAGCATTAGAGGGTTTAGGGACAACTTGATACAGAGTGATCCGGACAGCTGCAGTACAACAATCACAAAACTGTCAGGACAAACTTTTCAGCCTCTCAGCAGCCCGCTGCACCAACAGTAACATCATAATCTGCCTCTGAATAATCCCCCAAACTGTCACATCTACCCTGCAGACTGCTCCAACAAAATGTGACCTTCACTGTGAACCCTTCAAGCTGGGGTGCCACTGGTGTGAGGACAGATGAACACAGCCAGAGCTCAGAGGAAACCACAATAAATCTGAGGCTCAAACTGAAATGTCACTGTGGTTAATCAGAGAGGGATTAGTTTGGGAGATTTAACTAGTTACTTGGATTTTTTCCACCTTCCCTAAGTGGGTGGCCCTTGCCATCTGGTGAGGGAAATCACCCTGTTTTCAGTGGAATTATGACAGGATTTAAAAAAGTGGCTTCATCTGGAAACGGTTACAAGTGTCAGGACGTTGGACTCGATTCCCAGTCAACCCACAAACTCTGAAAACAACTTAATCTTAAAGTAAATCAGTGCAGCCGGGTTCAAGTCATCATATTGCAGAGTTTATGTAACAACCTGAACTCAAGCAGAGCCAAAGCCACTTGTCACCACACATTTATCCTTCTCCAAGAGAAACAACAAGACTTTCAGAATTAGACACAGACACCATAAGAAGTGAGTTTCAGCTTCTCTAAGAGGCCCACAGATCAATAATGTCAACACCTACAGTGACTTGATCGTTTTAGAGGTGAATTTCTGGCATTTCACCAAGCAGAGACTCTAAACATTGTGATACTGACACTGAGTGTGGACTCACACAGGTCAGAGTTTTCATTATTAGCCATCAGGTAAGCAGAGATTTTAAGGATATTTAAATTGAGCGTGCAAGTTGCTTCAATGAAAAGAAAACAAGTCACTTCTAGTAATATCTGGGGTCATGTGAATTCAGGGACCTTCAAAATAAAAGGAATTAGCTTCCACTTATTTTACTTAACCTCCTAAGTCTCCCACTTCCTCTGTTTCAAGGCTTCTGGCACAGTCAATGTAAGAATAAGAGAGTGGTCTTTTACAGTCAAGGTTACATCAAGAAATGCAATAATGTGCAATATGAGCCCCTAAACACTAAGAAGGATATTTTTACCATAGTTATGAGACAAAAAATGTTACTGTCTTTAGATAAGAAAAAATGCTATGTTGATGAGTAAAAAGGCAAAATACTAGAATAGGAAGTTTTACTTATGAGATCCAATGTTGAGAACCAAAATAGAAAATCACAAACATGAGAAAGAAAGTGAGAAATATCAGTGAATAATCATTATCAGACAAAAATGAAGTAACTTTGAACTTTGATTTAGTGCAAAACGGAAAGCCTCACCCTGACCTAAAGCAGCGGGGTCCTAAAGAACTGCAAACTACAACTACAAGAAAAAGATTTTGTTGATTAAAAAAATGATGCAGCTTAAAAAGTCATCCCTCAATTTTGAAGGTGTTCACGTCAGCCAACTTACTTTTCAAATTATTATTAACCTAATATTGTTTGTCATGTTCAAATGCTCATTTTAGCCTGCTTTATTTTTATACATTACATTAAACATTGTCATTCACAGTAAAGTCAAAACAGGTGATTTTTTATTTTATTATTATTTTTTTAATCATTTTTAACGTGTGCAGAAAACAGAAGCAGCACCTTTACAACATCCTCTCCCCTGTGACTTTTCTTTAACAATGACTGGTAAAAAATCAACCTCAAAACCAAAGGTTCAAGATAATATTTTGAATATCCTCTATGTTAATAAGTCTTTGGCGCCCCCTGTGGACAAAGTGGGGACCCATATATATTTGCTGATTTTGCCTAATCTTTATAGAAGGGATGTTTATTGGCACAAAAAGCTCCTCCTGTTAAATGTTGCTGACAAATATTAATCTCCCATCATGAACATTTGCTCTGAGAAAAGTAACTACGTCTCTCTCTCCAGTGCACATACTCCCTCAGAGCCGTTACAGGCATCACACATTACAGTGTGGAAATTGTCAATCTTGCCATTAATGGTCTTATTTGGTTTTGTACATCACTGAGATACATTACTTTTTATTTTGGTCTTTTTTCATAACCTACTGACTCATTACAGGAGCTTTAAAGAGAAGGGATGTTGTTATGAACACTGATTTAAGATACATCAATATCTGTCTCTGAACCGTATTCAAAAGACAGAAGCTTACTCTCCTGGATTACCATTTTCTTACATCTGGGTATGCAGGTTTTCAGTTTGTAAGAGGGTTTCTACTGGAAACAACAGTCTGATCCTGATGAGGTTGGTGAGACCCTTGGACGTGAACAGAAATGGAGGGGTTGCAAATTGTGAAATCAAAACAATAAGCTAAAGGACCCCAAAACACCTTTTTACAGGTGAACTGTAGAGTGGTGTACAACTGTATGTAACACTTTTAAGATAATAACTAGTTAATTCTCTGATTGTTATACAGAAATGTGAATCGGTGCAGCTTTGAAGGGGTGAACTGACTACCAAAAGAAATATATTGTTTTTATATTATGTAATAATGTTCTGAATACATCTCGTGACAACCATAAGTGACGATTTTCAGTGAAGAGAATGTCATTGACACCACAAAATGAAACTCCATATTTCAGGCCAGATCTTGATCTTTCTGTCAAGCATAAAAGTATAAATCCTCTCTAGTCTGTCATCACTCTTTCATGTACAGTGTTGACTCGTCACTGAGATAAAGATTTAGAGGCAGACAATGACTGTCTGAACATACATCAGAGGGGCTGTGGTCAACTGTTGTAAATATCAGACATTTGTATCGCTCCTTGACACTGAACATTTACAATTTAATATTATATTGTTGCACAGGCTCTAAATGTTTTCCAGACAACTTTTGCATGATGTTACACAGTTTCATTGCAATAACACCGCTTTTAACCATGTAGGAGGTCTGCTGTTTGGCTTCACACTAGGAATGCAAATGTGAGTAAAGCTTCGAATGATATCGAGCTTGAAATTCACAGCAGTGGTAGACACAACATGCAGGCTTGAACTCCTCTCTGCTAAATTAAGTTTTCCATGTGGTGGAAAAAAGGTTAAACTTGATACTGGAATGTCTCAGAGCAAAGCAAAGGAGTGCGTGACTGGGTTTGTTTGCCGTTCATGAACTTTGTTGGTTTTGCAGAGGTTCAAACCTTTCATGAGGTTTTCTTGGACAGTTCTCCTCTCACAACGACCCGGTTAACAGATTTACTAGGCGTTGGTCACTCTCTGACTGGGCTGATAGTTTTTTGTTTTTTTTAAATGTGTTTTAACTACTCAAATTACATTAATACAAGTGTTAAACAGTAGTTGACTGGCGTCTTGCCCCAACAGGGATGCCAAACAAGCTGTCTCTGAAACCTGAAACATGAAGTGTGTTGAAAATACCACATAAGTGTCTGATAGGGAGGAAAAGCACCTGTTTCTCTCAGCAGGTGTTCATGGTTCTGAGACAGAATAATCTGCAGCTGAGACACATGTGAGGCCAGAGACTGACAGACTGAAACCAGCAGATGCTGATGGCTGAATCACAGTGCCTGATGCAATCACTGCATCAGCAGCATTACGATGTGGACAGCTGTTTCAACACTACACACTTCAGAAAGGAAGATCTGTGTGAAACATACCATACGAGGATTTACATTTGATACCTGCTCATGTCTTTCATATCCTTCAAACGGTTAGTTAGATGCATTCATTTAGTTTAAGTTTTAACACACCTGCTCCAGTTTAAATGTAACATAAAAACATTTTATACATTATACATTCATACATCAACCGGCACCAACCATCCTATCATCAACCATGAAAGTCGGTGTAAAGAGACTATGATAGCCTCATTGATAGCTTCATCTACTTAGGTTTGTAGTTGTAGAGAGAAATAGTAAACTTTACTGTTGTCATGTCATTGAAAACACATGATTCCTGCACTTTGCCTTTTTCAGTTAATCAGATATCATGATGTGAGCTGGCATTACATGGTTTTCTAGGGATATATCAGTCTTCACAATATGATTGTATTTAAACACTATTGTTTTCGTGGCCACCTATTGCTCATTGTGTCATATTCATAGACTGTACATAGAATGGACGCCGTCTGCCTACTCGTTGGGTGAAGCCACTCTGAGAACAGCACCCTCTGGTGACAGGCTGTAGTATAGGTCATAAATCCCACCTCCTTCAGTAATCCCTATGGACAAACTTTAGAAATTAATTACACAGAATATATACCCCCCCCCCCCCCCCCCTTGCTTGCGATGTTGACATGTAGTTTTTGTAAGACTCGTTATTAGGGGGTTCATGTTTTCTATGATTGACACTTGATACAGCCTATGGGCATACAAAGATTGCGTAGCTTACCCAGGGGATACGCTGTTTGAGCCGAGCGTCATCACAGTGACTCTCCTGCAGAATGCATACAAGTTGTCCAGAGTACAGAATACAGTCTATGATCATATTCTTCTGTCACACATAGTGTTTATTTCTGTTGTTGTCTCAAGTAGTTAGGTGAACTGCAAAAAAAGGGATTGCTCACAGACTATGGCGTCTTGGCTGGAAGTTAAAGCAAGAGCTCCAAAGTTTTTTAGCGATGCCTGATGAGTTTCAAGACCGTGTCATATTGCTGACAGAATCTTTGATGAACAAACGCGAACGCAAACAAAGTTTGTGTGACCTTCTGTCTTTTACTCAAGTCAAGATCAAACCATCACATTTCACCCAGCTCTTACCAAAGGTCCACACTTATGTTACCACGTCTGTTTGTTCCAAGGACAACCCAGACATCAAAGGATTTCATTTGTGAAAAAAACGTAGATTTCTCTCTGTATAAAAGCAGATTTTGACGGTAGTTGAAGCTGAAAATGATGATTCACTGGCCTGACAGCCCTGCACAGAACAACTGACCCGTCTGCATGTCTGCATACAAAAATACTAAAATGTTATGCAGAAGGTCTTTATGAATAAAAAGGGTTTAAAAAAAGTTGCAGATGAAAGGATATTTTCTTAGTCTGGAGACAGCGCAGTGGTTGAGCCCTCCCCCAAAGACTGAATCCACATGAATCCCACGTTGGCTGAGGCTCAGATCCAACCCAAACCTAACCTGTGTCTCAGAGATTTCCCACTCAGCTCTCTTACTCATCACAGACAGAGAAGCAAAAGAGAAATAACTGTTGGACATGGACTCTTTTGAAACATGTCAATCCATCTTAAAATATGCTGTACTAATCAGAGTCCCGTATAAAAGAAGAGATCATTTCCAATGTTTGTATTTTGGTGAGTTGAAGCTCATGGATCATTGGAGTACCTCCTTGTGGTTAACCTCTGGGAACAAAGACATGCCATGATCTATACTCCTACTACTGTAAAAATGTTTCCCAGGATGGATACTGGGCCGTATTTCAAAACATATTTATGAGTGTGGGGTTAAAGGGGGGCTGTTTAGTGAGCACGTTGGGGATTTCTGCAGCTATTTACACATTGAAAAGTTTTAATGTTCTTTGGAGAGTGGCCAATAAAGTTATCATGACTTAGTCAGCTGTGACACAGAAGCTCATCTGGAAATGTAATTAGCCATAGTTTGGCTTCCAGGTCGAGAAAATAGAGGTAACATCACCCCAATGACAAAGAATTTATAGTGGAAGTGACCTCACAACAAGATGCTGCGTCTGGAAATGGCATTATTGGGATCTTACAAACATCTGACGAGAAGAAACTAGAGTAAGAATTTGATTCAAAACAGACTCAGGATAGGGTTCATATTGGGAAGAAATAAGATTATATCTGGATAAAACATCCCCTCTTTTTCATCTAAAGCTCACACTGTGGTCGTCAAGGCTACCAGCATCTGCCTCCCACATGCAGGGATGCTGTGGATCTTGAGCTAGTTTTAATGAGTGGGGGGTGGGCGGCGCTGCTTTTACTTCAGTCAGCACTTCAAACACAGCTGTATCTGTGGGAGCCACACTGCCATCAAGTTCATGTGGGACAAACTTACTAATAAAGTGACTCGATAGCTGACTGTACATCCTGTTGAGTACGAAATATGAGAGAAATTTCCTTTCAGGATTACACAGGATGTAACTCAGATCACATTTACTACTGGTAATGATTTCCAAAATCTGGTTTACAGACATTAAAGGAACTTCTGTTGCCTATAACGTGAAGGACAACATGCAGGAGACCCAAGTAAATCAGTGTGGGGGGAAAGTATGTTTTCTATAAAACCTATAAACTGAGACAGTGAAGTGTCTTCCAGAGTAATTTTTTTATTAAGTTTATGTTAATTTCCGCCTGATATATAGATAACTGGATCTACTGTAACAAGAGGAAGTCCACCCACTTAAGCTTAAATTCACCATCAACAGATGTGGATCGGTTTACTTATAGACAGCAGAAGAGCAGAACTATAATTCTAATCCCTTTGGGCATCAGAGGCATCAGGAAAAGACCGGATTAAGAGAAATAATGACCACAAGAGAAAAATTAAGATGTGGTGCAACAAGAATCAGAGGAGATCTGTGCAGGTAGTGCTGTGCGATATGGGAAAAAATGTATATCACGATATGGATCATTTTATATCACGATAACGATATATATCACGATATAGCTATGGTATGCTTTCAGTTCTATGAAAAATGTAAGTGTATACAGCTGCACTAGTACCTGTACAAGACCAGCACTTAAAACTAGAAAAATGAATAAATAAATACGTGGCTGAAGTGCGTTCATGTCTGTGCTCACCCAAAGTTATGCAACACTCACAGAAAACGCCGAGTGTGAGCCAAAGCACTCCATAATAATAATAATAATAATAATAATAAATTTAATTTGTAATGCACTTTACATTTACAAAAAATCTCAAAGTGCTACAGTACACAATAAAAAAAGAGCAGCAACAATAAAAAAGCAATAGAATGACAGTCACAGATTGGCATAAAAAAAAGAATTAAAAAAATAAAAAATATAGAGTTGCAATGTAAGAGGCAAGGTAGTAAAAGCATAGAGGAAAACTAACCAAAGACTTTATTAAAAAGGTAGGTCTTTAGGGCTCTTTTGAAGAGGTTGTTCACACTGCTAGATGTTTCTCCTCCAAAGCTGCTCTATGCCTCCATCATTGTTTACTTTACTCTTGAAGCACGTGGGAAGACCCGAGCATGAATCCGAGCGCTTTATTCGCCTATCAGGGGCAGACAGGTAAGGTGATTTGATTCGCCACGACTCCAGAAAGTTCATGTGGGACAAACTTACTAATAAAGTGACTCGATAGCTGACTGTACATCCTGTTGAGTACGAAATATGAGAGAAATTTCCTTTCAGGATTACACAGGATATAACTCAGATCACATTTACTACTGGTAATGATTTCCAAAATCTGGTTTACAGACATTAAAGGAACTTCTGTTGCCTATAACGTAACCCAAGTGAATCAGTGTGGGGGGAAAGTATGTTTTCTATAAAACCTATAAACTGAGACAGTGAAGTTCCCGCTCCTGCCCACTCCCGTTGTTTTTTTTCCCGTCCTGTCCCGATCAAGGGATTAATTAAAAAATGACTCCCATCCCGCGGGAATCACGTGACCACGGGGAATCCCCGAAAAATGTCATCCTCTACAGGGAAGGTCCCGGAGCACATAAAACAGGTGCCGGAGCGGCTGAAATAGGTCCCGGATCCGATCAAAAGAGGTCCCGGATCGCGCTCCGACTTGCTCCGGCACAAATAAAGCACTGCTTACAATGGTCCCCTCACGTGTGTAACCCAGGTAACCCGCAACGGCGGGAGACGCTGGACACGAAGAGGGCACGTAAAGCGGTGTCATGTCGCAAAATCGAAAGAGAAATGCGAGCCAACATGTCAACGCATCCTTTTCTTTGTAAGGAAATACTGTTTTCTTTCCCGTTTGACACCAAATACACTTACTTAATGTTCAATTATTGTTGTTGTTACTATGAATCATCTGATGGCACAAGCCCTATGGATAAAATACAGCCTATCGCCCGAAACGATAAAAATAAAAAATGGCACGATAGACATTTTCTATCGTGCCCACGATATCTATCGTCCAATCGCCCAGCACTATGTGCAGGTGTCACACACAGGTGAGCAACAGTCACCAGCTCACTATGTCTGTTTCACACTGTGCATTATTATAAACTATGACAAACTACTAGTAGAGCAGCAACATGGACTCACATCTCTTGGCTCATCAGTAGGGGATTGTTCCATGTCAATATTAAAAGCAGCACCATAATGAATCAATACAGACTCTGGAGCAAATACCCGCAAGGGGGAGAGGAAGAGTGAGAGGAAGATTAAGAGGCAGAGAGAGTGATGACAGTGTCCTTTTCTGTTTTATTTTATGGGTGCAGGAAATGTCAGCCCGTGGAATCAGCCTCTGACTACTTCACATAGAGCTGAGTCAGAGTCAGTGACTAAGTCCCTCCTGGGATGTAATACGATACAAGGCTGAGGGAAGAGCAGTCAGAACTGTTTTACTTATTTCACTTAACTTTTTGCCCAGTCTTATAAAATATCTGAAACCGGTAGTGAACTATTTCAGCGGTTCTGACAAGGTTCAGTGTTAGTGGAGTAGTAAAAAAAAAATTGTATACTAAGCAGGTTGCTCTTCTAACACTGTTTAACCGAGGTTTTGCAGCTGTAAGTAAAGCTGCAGGTCTCCTAAGTTTGATCTCTCTGTATCTTCAGGTGATATTTATGATGCTGTAGTAAAATACTCTAGACTTTAAAAGACTGAAGGGTAGAGTCTCTCCTCTAAAACTGAAGGTAAATACAAAAGCAAGCATGTGAGAAACTGGTTAGAGTGCATGTACCCTGTTAATGCTGTAAACTACAGCTGTCATCTTACTTCAGTAACACTAACATTTATTAGCTCATTACCTTGGTTGACTGGTTGTGTTCTCTATTCACGTTTGCCCCTGTGACAAACTGTGACAAAGTATTTTTAAATTGTGTTGATACTGCTTTAAACACTGTAAGAATTAGGAGAACAGGGTGAGAGTGAAAAGATCTGGGTCAGATTTTCTTACTTATTACAGTAGGAAGACTTACCTCCACACTGTAATGCTGTAAGTCATCGGATGAAGATACTGGATATGCATTTCCTTGGTCAAGTATGTGTCTGTCTGTGAGGTGTAGAGGTAAAGAGTTTGTATTTTGAATCAACAGCATAAAGCTAGTATTTGCTTAAGTAGTTGACCTGCTTTGGCAAAAAAGAAAAATTCATGTCTATATTGGGAGAAATGGATACTGAGGTAATAATAAATGTCTTTATGAAAGCTCCCACAATGCTGATAATAATTTAAGGCCACCTTTAAAGCTTTATAGACCAACTGGTTTTCATGAGAGCTTTCCAAGTGTTTCAACTGCAAATTTTATTTGCCCAAAAATGGAGTTACATGCATGATGACTGAAATAGACTGGAAGATTGCTTTTCGGGTGAGAGTGCATTACTGATCCAGAGGTTGTTACCACACAGTCTTCAGTGTCACCTTGCAGAGGGACACTTCTGCCAAACTTTGCCTGAAACAAAGCTCTGATAGTTCTAACATTTACAAAGAATCTGGAGTAAATTTGCTCTCTGTCTATTATGAATGCCATAGTTAACTTGTGTTTATAGTCCTAAAATATGAGAAACTATTGTATTTCACTTGTGGAAACTGTTTTGGCAGCTTTAAAGAGGGGGTGTTAAGAAATCTGTCTCTACCTTATAAACGTTTTAAAGCACTTCATCAAATAAATGTATAAACACAATATTACTTGGATAATCAAAAGTGAATTTGCAGCCTTTCAAATCAGATAGCAGCAAGACAGTTTAGTTTTTTGTTCATGGAAGATGTGACCATTAACCAAAAGCCAGCAGATTAATTCAATTTGTTTCTTTCCCTCCAGTTAAATTTCTGGCGCTGTTATCACTGGAACAAAATTTAGCGGACTAACCGTGGTTTTTAACCACAAATAGCAACACAAGTTCTGGTGTTTTGGATAGTAATCACTCAGTTTTCCGCTCTCCACAACAGAGCATTTCATGAAATCATAGCAACATGTGTCAAACCGACATGGAAACACAGACAGGCTGTGGTTCTTCACGGCAACAAAGGAAGAGACGAGCGAGCTGAGGACAAAACAAGAGTCTGTTGTAGCGGTTTCAAAAGAGTACACTTTGTATTACTCTGCAGTTTGCTCCTCTCACTGTTAGAGAAGCACTTTGTCTTGTGTATTGTATTACAGGCCCAGTGGTTCGAAAGTTGAAATCAGGTTTTATACAGGATGCCAAACTTCCTACAAATGTTAAAGCAGCAAACATTATAAGATTTGTAGCCCGGTGGTGAAGAGAGACGTAGGTATGAGTGGCGAGACCTTTGATCCCACAGTAAAAAGAGGCCTCATGCACCCCACAAACTGCCCTCACAGCCCGCCAAGAAGGCCAGAGCGTCTTGTTAAAGGCTCCCATGCTTGTAAAACACTCAGAAATAGCATTGAGCTCAGTGGATCTACAGCATACGATGCATACGGTTTCTCCTGACATCACTGCTCTGATTTGGACACACTGTTTTGGGAATAGAGTGACTCTGCCAGGCCTTAACATTGCAAGATAAGCATACACTTGGAAATAATCGACAATAAGGAGTACATTTTTCTATCAAAACATCCCATATATTGCGTTTATTATCTTTGCTGTTTACATATTTTGTTAAATTTGCTCGAGAGGTCTTGTCTTGAGGTCTAACTGACCCAAATCACAAACTCTCCTTTCTCCATAATGACTTTCTAGGGCTGTCAATTTAAAAAGAGAGAAAGTTCCAATAAATATCAAACATGACATGCTGATGTTAAAATATTTTCAATACCCCACTCTCACAGTACTGACACACTTAACATCTATATCACATCATTTTGTGGTTTTATTAACAACAGCACAACATAATGAAAATACCAGCCCAGTAAGACATAAAACGAAAAGGTCTTATGTTAAAGAAAATGTCAAAGTAGACAACTGAGGAGAATTTCAATAACTTATTGAAAACCCCACTAAAAAAACAAAAAAACAAAAGCCTGTAAGCAATTTGAACAGTCTACTGACTAATCTTTTAATATTATTCACCAGAAATAGAAGTCTACATTTTGATCAGAACTGAGTCCATCTGTTCTAGTATAACCTGCTGATATTGCATGCTCAGCACTGTGCCTCTGCTGCTGGCCTTACAGGTGAGCCCACAGATGTACTGTATTTGAGGAGTGAGACAGAAAGTCAATTCACCCCTATCTTAGTCTTTTGTCTCACTATCTGTGAAGCAGAATCCAAAATGCTTCCTCAAAGTGCATTCTGTTTTTTTGTTTTTTTTTTGTGATGTTATGGTCCGCCCAGGATCACTAGCTGCTGCAAACATCCTCCATTTCTGCAGAAAATCACTGTATCAGTTTGTTTGAGTCAAGAGTGCCATGCCATGGTCAGGTAACAATAAAAGCGCCCTCTGCTGGATTAAATGGCAAGCTACCTCAGATGGCCAATAAACTATATAGTAAATTCAAACAGCTCATTACAGTTCAAATATGAACTTTTTGCCTCCAAGTTTGAACATATTAGTGACAGTACCAGAGTATTACTTTATCTATGGATCAGTTTTAACCAGTTACCACAAGTATATCTTTGTGCATCATTAGCTCACCAGAAAATTATGCTTATGTCACACCATAAAAATCTCGGTTTTCGCTAATTTTTATCACATTTAACAGATGTGCAAACTCCGAGTGGCAAAAGGAAAACTTTTCAAACAGTTCCATTTTTCATATACAGTATGACCTGGGAGACTTCATATAATGAAAAAGAGAAAGCCAGTGTCAAACAAAAACAAATACCAGACAGACCTCTACAGAAAGATGACCCTGAGGTCTTCTACAAATACAACAATGGACGATGTTTCCTTACTCAGTGTGGTATGTCTTCAGTCTGTGGTCGCCTAGGTCTCTGGCTGTCTTTCAGTTCTGGTTTAAAGGAGGTGTTTGTGCTTCCAACTATCCCATTAGTACAATATAAAAGAAATAAATTGTTGAAATGAGAAAAGCCTGCACACTACTCTGGCTCAGCTTTAGAAAAATCTCAACTTGAAAAGTTCTGCAAAAACATTCTTGTTTTCTCTGCATATTTGATTCCCAAAGCCTACATTTTTCTTTCTTAATCAGCTTTTTTTTTTTATTTCCAACATCCAAGATGCTTCTCCCACACAAACTCTTGACCCACATTTTGTGCAATTATAAAAAGAATGGCTAAGTATTGTGAACTCATTTAAAGCTTGCACAAACCTCATCATCAAGACCTTAGCACTCTACAAGTTTGCATTTACAACCTCAGGGCACCTCACAGCCGCCTCATTAATCATCAGCAAACACAGGTGAGCTGAGACTAGCTGAGCTGAGCCACAGTCAGCGACAGGCTAATTCAGGCCTGCAGTCAATCCCTAATAGAGTTCCAAGTGCATCTTTATAGTCCCAGGACAAGCCTGACTCTCTGAGTCTTCCACTAGAAGGGAAATCTAATCCCACAAGTACCCTGTGAATGTGCTGTGGAAAAATAAACCGCTCAGGGGCCAAGCAGAGCCCCAGTAAAAACAGCCATACTGTAAATACTACCACTCAATAGATGGACCACAGGATTGTGACGCTCCAAGTTATGGAGTGACACTGTCCAGGGCAGTCTGAGAGCACTATAAACTTTATGGGAATGAGTAGCAGACCTGCTTGCATCTAAATCTGTCAATTCAGATGTCTTAATTAGACCCTCTGTAATCCCCAAGCCTGATCAATGCAGAGTGTCTCTTAGTGTCATGCATGCAAACAGAGCCCAAAGTTAAATGCTCCTTGCAGTGTATCATACAATGCTACCACTAAACCATGATTTTAGGCATTAGTGTGAATCCCCCAGGAATCTCCCAGGTTCCTCCAGGACCCAGCAGAGGTGCATTTGGTCCTACCTGTGACCGCGGCTTCCCCTGCACACGCATGTGGAGGCAGATGAGCAGCAGCAGAGCCAGTCCTGACAGCATTCTCTCATGTGGCCACGGAAATGTCCAACCAGTCACTCAGGCTTCCTCACAAAGTCCAGCGGCTGCTCCCCGTCAGCCTCTTCCTCGCCTCTGACGCTCTGAGAATGCCAAAAAAACCCTCTCGCTGCAGGGCTGATCTCTACGAGCTCCTCTTGTAAACTGAGCTAGGGGAGGTGCGGCTGGGGGAGGTGAGGCTACTTTTTTAGGAGGGGGGGAGAGTGAGAGGTAGAAAATGAATAGGAGGGAGAAAAAGGTGGGAGGGAAGGGAGGCAGAGAGGAGAGTGTTGTAGCTACTGCTGACAGTAAATTGGAAGCCAGAGAGGAAGTTTGGGGGAATATTTTTTAATGTGACAGAAAAAGTATGAGAGGAAGGAAATTCTTGAGAGGCTGGACTGAATGTGTAAGTAAAACCACTTTGGTTAAAACAGTGTGGAGGTAATTGGTGGGGGGCGTTCTTCCTCACTAAGATGCCAACAAACACGGGTGACATAAGTCCGCACTTCTGTTCTTAATAACACAGACCACAAAAATATGCCAAAAAGCTCCTACGACCATCTTGAGGCTGAAAAACTCCAAATGAAAAACATGATGTTTAAACATCCAGGAACAACAGCTTCAACACAGCATGATTCCTTTGGCCTCTTTAAGCCTCTCATCAAAATACTCGATGTTGAGCCACACTGCAAAGCTTGAAGCAAAAAAGGCCCGACTCATCACATGTTTTTCCAATTGGGCCACTTCTGTTTCCACGACATTAAACACTAATTCACCAGGACATTCTGAAGTACACTCCTCATATCCGACAGCCTTTTTTTTTCATTGAATGACGAGGACAGACCAAACTCTCCAGGAACATTGTGGCTCAGCTTGTTTCTTCTACACAAAGAAACTTTTGCGAGCGCAGGTCTGGAAATTACACGAGTTAATTGAAAGCGTACCTGTTTTGAAGTGGCTTACAGAGACCACAACAGGCTGCTGCACAGTCTGCTGTTCGCTCTGAGAGGCTGCATCTCAGATGTTTGAGCAGCAGGGCTCACATGGAGGGAATACACAAAGAGAGGGAGGAGATACAAGGACTCCTATGGTGATATCAAAGTATGAAACAACAAAACTGCTGACATGCTTAGCAGGAGAGATTTCCAATCAACCTTGGACCTTCACAGGCTTCTTGTGCAACATTTATACAACTTATGCTTCAGTTTAGCCTGTGAGACTTTCATAAAACTCATTCTCTGCTGCATAATATCAGAGAAAGCTAGGAACAATTGTGTATGACATTTTCCAGATTGCTTTATGTCACCAGGTTTAATGAGTGGGTGACATACAGTGTGTTATTTGATATGTTTCCAATATCAATGCTGATGGGGTGAAAAAGTTTGGCATAATTATCTCCATATCTCTTTCTAACCAACATCATTCACTGAAAATTCAAGTTACCACAACTGTTTACTGTGTTCATTTCCATACATTATATTTGGTGGCTAAAGTGCAGCTGCTTTCTGTCAAGGTTCTGAATGGCCATTTAAGCTCCCATTCAGTAAGATGATACATGATACTTAACACATATTACTGAATAACATTCAAGGCTTGCCTAGCACAGTGAATGTAGTTTTGCAGACCAAAGTCTAATCGTCTGATAGCTGCAGAAGCCAACAGCATTGTCGGTGAGAAAAAAAGAAAAATAAGTGCTACTCCTGGCAGAAAAGCAGATGAAGGCTCAAAAGATGTTGACATCTTTGACAGCACTGGCACAAAAACGTAGGTGGTGTGGAGGCATTTCGTTTTTTTGAGGTCGGACATGAAGCAGTGTAATTTGCACTGCAAATTATGTCGGGTACATGTTCTCGTGAAGTCGGGGAATACCTCAAATCTTTTCTCCACTTGAAGCAGTGCCACACAGCAGAGCATGCACAATGCAAAAGGTTACAAACCCCGAGTGGAGCAAGGAGCCCATGGCGCCTGTGCAGCCGAAACAGCCGACCATTCAGTCTGCTTTCTCTAGCACAACGCCATAGGCGAAAACGTCGAAGAGACACAAAGACCTCACAAATGCAGTACCTTATTGTATGGCAAAAGGCATGCTACCAATCAACATTTAAGATCAACAAGTAATTTTTTTACATCGTAATATATATTAATATTGACTGATATGAAACAATATATTGTGATAAAAAAATTTCCCATATCGCCCAGCTCTACTTATGATATAACATGATTTCAACACTTCAAATGAACTGCATAGTTTCAAATATCCCGATGCCGGATTCTATGACAGACTGTATTAAAATATCAATTATATCCCCACATTACACTGTGATTCATTGTCATACCTGATTTACAACAGAAAAGTCGACTAAAAATATTAAAATGCTAAAATCCTATCAATCCAGTTTTGTCATTTTTAAAAGGCTCCAGATTGGCAGCGTTACGATCACCAGCCAACATTAATCCACCTCCATTAAAATCAACAGCTACTACCAAGCTTAAGACTTCAGATTTATGAACATTCACACATAAAAAATGAGTGGGCTGAGCAGATTGCCAAATATTTGCTTGGTAATGATGTGGATGTTGGCACTGTATTGAATCACTCTCACCCTGCCACCCTTCTCAATAACCCGAGACGCTGTTTTACAGAGCAGGCAGAGGCAAAGAGTGCACACACCAAGAGCAAGCAACACACACACACACACACACACACTTCTCCACACCTGCAACTGGCTCCACTTATGTTGGAGCAGAGTCAGCTGAGACACACACACGCAAACCTAATCCAGCCCATATCTTCCTATTATCAGCTTGGATCTTTCTCCAGAGAAAATAGCAGCCTATTGAAACTTTGAATGGCTCACTAACCAGTTTTGTTTTCAGAGTTGAACCCTTCATCCTCAGCCTAATCAGCTCTCTCTCTATCTCTCTCTCACACACACACACACACGTACGTACATGCACACACACACCATGAAGCAGCATGTTTAGTATGTGATAACAATCCCTGCAGTCAGCACAGCTGCAGACGTGTAGGAGGCTTTTTTCCAGCAGCTCATCAGTGTCCAAGAAGCTACAGACATCATCCTGCTCCCCTCATCCGCCTCTGATCCGGACAGACCTCATTATGGAGGCATAGCGCCGAGAGGTCGGGCAGGGCCAGACTGACTGTGCAGCACACCCCAGGTCTCTGTTTCCTCAAATAAGTGGGTCAGCCCTGAAGCAACCTTGGCTTGAGGTGCCTAATTCCTCCGCACACGTCAGAGTCATGATCTACGGCAGGAGGCCTCAATGTTACTGTACCCTCTTAGTGCCCTGCAGACCCACTTAGATGCAGGTGCCATACTCAGTTCAGCTCCTGTGCTTATTTTCTGTGATGTTCCCTGGCTTCCAGTTTGTCTTTGGCTGTGTTTGTAGAGGATTTTTATATGTACAGCTCATTAGCAGAACTATGGCTGCTAACATTTCTAGCAGGTGTGGCCTCAGTGGGAAACACTCTACCTGACAGCTGCACCTACTCTGTCATTAATCTGCCTTACATCATGCTTCATAATGCTCACACTGAGGGAGGAGAAAACAGGGTTATATAAGGCTTCTTCACATGTGCAGAGAAACACAGAAACCGAAAAATTATAAATTATACCAATTTACTGAGCAAAATATAGTTAACCACAACTGTGCAAGTCGTAAATTTCTCTTCTGTTCTTTCAAATTGACTTGGATTGTACCGAGGCTATTACTTCAGACAGTTATGGACAGTTATTCTGTAGTGTAATGGAGTATTACTTGCAGTGCTAATGTATTTTTTTGTGAGTTAGCAGTTTAGTTTTTACTTTTATTTGAATGTCCTCTTTAACTCCATTTGTTTTCCAAATAAAGTTTAATATAAACTTTTACCACTTCCACCAAGACTCTTTGTCACTGAAAATCAAACAGGAAGAGGTGTAGTCTGGTGATTTTGAATCTTTTCAATGACTAACATGACTTTAAATTAATGGCAAAGAGATTAAGAACAAGGGTCGGCAGTAATGCTAGACTTTAAATGAACACTTAATACCTTAAAGAACAAAAGGAGGAAGAAGAAGTGGGTAAATCAAAGCACTAAAGTGCATCAAGAGATTTCAAAGCCACAGTTTTGCTTTAAAGTCAAGTCCATGCATGTCAGATGAAAGAAAGCACCAATTACCTGACGCTGTCTGACCACTGAAAATAACCAATTCACTTAGAGCTGCGTCACCCACTGATGGTAAGTTTCTGTCTTGAATTAAGGAGTCTTATCAGAGACATCACCTCCCACAGAGCTTATTCTCTAAACATTATATCACTATGGTCTGCGTATCAAGGATTCTGACATAATGAGGAGCAAAAAACTGTCAAAAAAGACACCTTAAGCTCTGCTCCCAGCACTGGGTATCACAGCATGCAATGGTCAACACAGTAAACAACTGCAAGATGCAAATTTTCACCAGTTTCTGCAGGCTTTAAGTGAGCACACACTGCAAGCTGTTCACACATCACTACCTGATGGTGATACCAGCTGATGTCAGAAAAAAACACTGACTAATGCCTACAAACAGTATATGTTAGATATTTCTAAGTAGGGCTGGGCGATAAAACAATAATGCTATGTATAGAAAATTAATTTTCCTCGATATCGATATGAAACATGGTCAATATGCTTTTGGCTAGTCAGCAATTTGCCATGTTTCGGTAGACTATATGAATAGCCAATGAAAAGGGGAGTTGCTGCAGGTCTGCTTTGAACCAATCATGCGCTGAATTAGAACCAAGTTGCAAACAACTGTGTAGTAGCAGGCTGCAGCTACACGCAACCATAGCACTTTAACACATGAAGCTGACAGCACTGTCAGTGAGAAATGCAGATGAAGGCTCAACAGATGATGACAACACTGGCACGAAAACGTCAGTGGTGTGGAGGTATTTTGTTTTTTTGAGGTCAGACATGAAGCAGAGTAATGTGCACTGCAAATTATGTCGACTACATGTTATTGCAAAGCCAGGGAATATCTCAAATCTTTTTCTCCACCTGAAGTAGTGCCACGCAGCAGAGCATGAGCGATCCAAAAGGTTACAAACCCCAAGTGGAGCAAGGAGCCCATGGTGCCTGTGCAGCCAAAACAGCTGACTATTCCACTCTCTCCGGTGCAACGCCTT